GCAGCCACAACCATCCCAACAGCTCAGGTGCTAGCCTGGCAGGAAGCTGTGGGTACAGCTGACTGCTCTTAAGGCTCCTGGGCCTGTCTGTGAGCAGGCTTGGAGGCATGTTAGGGTAGAAAGCTCATGAGAAAGAGCCCCACCTGTGTTTATCTGTTCACCAGCAGGAGGAAACCCTAGGACTCCTCCTTCCTTCCTTCCTTAGTCCTCTGACATTCCCTCCTCCTGATGAACTGGGTAGCCTCCAGTGGTCCCCACTAACACTAACACTGCATTACTTCTGTTGAGAACGAGAATGTGCCGAAAGCAGGAAGAGGGCATCAAACTCCACCCAAATGCTCTTGTCTAGTATGATGGGATGATATATTTGGGGCTCCATTTACCCCCTTGCATTTCTTTGGCACTTGTAGAGAGATGCTGGCTAACTAGTGACTAAATAGAAAGAGAAAGAAAATGGTCTGGGGTGTGTGTGTGTGTGTGTGTGTGTGTGTGTAAGTGAATACGTGGGCACATGATACCAGGTGATAATGATGGAAGCGAAAACTCTCACACACATTTAATAGGGATTAATAGAATTAAGAACACAGCCTTTTGTTCTGTGCTCAAATCTTGGCTCAGTCACTTACTGTCTTTGTGGCTTTTGGCAAGATCAAACAAACAACAACAAAGACCCCTGTAAGCCTTGTTTTCCTCTGGGAGTAATCTGGGCTGTGGAGGTAGCTCAGTTGGTAGAATGCCTGATGAGCATACATGAAGCCTTGGGTTCCATTCTCAGTGTCACATAAGCTAGGTGGTAGGTGGGTGGGTGATGGTGGGTGACAACTATAATGAGACCCTGTCTCAGAAGAAAAGCCTAAAGTAAAAATATATTGTATAGCATTCATGTAATTCAAAAAGAAAGAATAACAATATGTTATGTATGTGTATATTTAAAAGAAAATATGAAAATAATGTTGGGAAGAAAGGTTCCAGTAGGAGAGAGAATAATGAGAGAGAGGGTCACAGGAGGTGAAAGGAAAATGGCCAACATCCATTAAATACATATGAACCTGTCCCAGCATAAAAGCCATACACATATTCAGTATAGACATACATGAACCTGTCAAAGAAAAACCGAAAATTTTTTAAAATGTCAAACCCTAGGAAAGAATTTGCTGGGAGACTGTAACAGTGTTTTGAAGGACATTCTGTCTTTGTAATCTGATTAAACCTCTGGCTCTGCCAAGCCTATACCTTTCTTTTACCCTGGAGGTATAAACCAATGCTAATTATACTTTAGCCAGCTCTTGCTAAAACTACAATTCATTTGCTTTTGGGTTTCTGGACTCTGTAGTGTCATAGATTCTTTTCTTTTCTTTCTTTTTTTTTGGGGGGGGGGGAGAGGTTCCGAGACAGGGTTTCTCTGTGGCTTTGGAGACTGTCCTGGAACTAGTTCTTGTAGACCAGGCTGGTTTCAAACTCACAAAGATCCGCCTGCTTCTGCTTCCAGAGTGCTGGGATTAGAGGTGTGTACCACCACCGCCGGGTGAGATTTACTTTTTTTTTTTTTTTTTAAGATTTTATTTATTTATTATGTATACAACATTCTGCTTCCATGTATGTCTGCAACCAGAAGAGGGCACCAGATCTCATAACGGATGGTTGTAAGCCACCATGTGGTTGCTGGGAATTGAACTCAGGACCCGTGGAAGAGCAGTCGGTGCTCTTAACCTCTGAGCCATCTCTCCAGCCCGAGATTTACTTATTTTTATGATGTGTGTGTATGTTTTGCCTGTGTATATGTCTGTGAAGCACATATGCGCCTGGTGTCCACAAAGGCCAGAAGACGGTATGGATCTCGGATCCCTGGAGTTTACAGATGTTTGTAAGCCACAGTGTGATGCTGGGAGTTCAACTTGTATCCTCTAAAACAGCAGTCAGTGTTCTTTTGTTGTTGTTTTTTGAGACAAGGTCTCATTATATATCCCTGGCTGGCCTTGAACTCACAGAGATCTGCCTGAGTGGTGGGATTAAAGGCGTGTACCATCATGCCTGGCTGCAGTCAGTGCTCTTAGCCACTGAACCATCTCTCCAGTCCTATCTCATAGATTATTAAGCACTACAAAAGAGAGTTGCTTATATGGCTTACTTAAAAGAAACTACAACTAAATTTTTTAAAAAATAAAGGAAAACAGTAATCTATGATCGAGTTAATATAAATTTAGCAGGCCTCTGTACAAATAGACACATATATGTGTGTGTGTGTATATATATATATATATATATATACACACACATACATGTTTATTGTTATGGTTGTAGTAACAATAACTTTTATTGCATCAAGTTCCCTGGGGCATCAAGGAGTAGGAAGGAAAGACTTTATCACACTCTCTACCACCAGAGCCTTGGGCATGCCCTAAAGACTGTCTCCCAGGTGACAGTCCTCTGCCTGTCTGTGACATGCAGCTTCGACTTTCTGATCTGGGCTAGACCCTGCTGGCCTCAAGCCAGGGTTGCTTTGTCCCACTGAAGACACTAACTCCCCAGGCTCTTCTCAAGCTCTCCCCATGGATAGAACCTTTTCATCCTGCAACTCAGGACTAGTCCTGGCTCTTGTAAATCCATGTCCATGGCCTCTTGTCTCCTAGGCAGCCTCTAGTTTCCTAGTGGGACAAGGACTCTGTCTCTTTGGCGTCACTGGGTTTCATCACTGTTTCTCTTGGCATTGTTGGTCTCTGGAGAGTGTGTTTCTGCACAGACCCCAGGTCTTCTCTTTGGAATCTACATTCATCCTGGATCTTCCGGTCTGTGGTGCCCTATGGAACAGGTGGGACTGGCTCTCCTCCTAGGCTGCTCACACTCTTTCCAGAGTCCTGGGAGGGCCAGCCCCTCCCCTCCCCAAAGTCCTCCCCTGTAGTTTCTGGAAGGAGAAAACCCTTCCTACTGGAGACCAGCCCCAAGGCTGGAAACAACACTGTAAAGATGTCTATCTGTGCCTACCTGAGGGTCCATCCCTTTTCAGGCATTCCCCAGTTCCACTTTTCTTGGGCTGCTTTCAGTTTCCCTGATGCTACATAGAGCTGTCAGGCTTGCTTCCTTCCTCCTTCCCTCGCTTCATTTCTCCCTCCCTTCCCTCCTTCCTTCTCCCCTCTCCCTCCCTCCCTCCCCGATCCTTTTTCTTAGGGAAGAGGGAAGCAGTAAATAACCTTCTTATTCCACTGTTCAGCCTTTATTTGGGGGTAAACTTGCATCATCCACTGTGCTGGGCTGCCTACATCTAATCCAGTTCTATCTAGCCTCCAGCAAAATCAACCTCCACATGAGCAAGAAGTAGAATGTGGAGTAGCGAGATGAGGGCTGACACCAGTCACAGGATTGGAACAGAATCTGTAGGTCTCCACTGGGCTCACTGTTGTTCACGAGGAAGTTATGTGTGTGCGCACGTGTGCTCATATCATCTGTCTTTACATGGCCAAATAAAACTTTTAGCACGGAGTGGGCTGGGTGGTGTACACTTTTTTTTTTTAAGATTTTATTTATTTATTTATTATGTATACAGCTGTCTGCCTGCATGCCAACAGAAGGCACTAGATCTCATTCAGGGTGGTTGTGAGACACCATGTGGTTGCCGGGAATTGAACTCAGGACCTCTGGAAGAAGAGTCACTGCTCTTCACCGCTGAGCCATCTCTCCAGCCTGTGGTGTACACTTTTAATCCTAGCATCTGGGAAGTAGATGCAGGGGAATTTCTATGAGTTGGAGACCAGCCTTATCTATATGGTGAGCTCAGGCCAATCAAGGCTACGTAGTAAGACTCTGTTTCAAAAAATAGCAACAAAACAACCCCAAAGCCAAAGCCATTCCTCTTGGCATGGTGCTTTGCTGTATTAAGTGCTCATTAATGTTGGCTGCTATTACTATCATTCTTGTAATGACTCAGAAGCAAAAGCAATACACATTTTTACCAGCTTGTTAGAAGTCTGGTTGAGCACTGGTAGATGTTTGAACATATTTTTTTTTTTAGAAAAGATATTTATTTATTTATTTATTTATTTATTCATTTATTATGTATAGAGTGTTCTGTCTGCATGTATGCCTGTAGGCCAAGGCCAGATCTACAGATGGTTGTGAGCCACCTTATAGGTGCTGGGAATTGAACTCCGTACCTCCAAAAGAGCATCCAATGCTCTTAACCACTGAGCCGTCTTGGACACTTGTGGTGGGCTGGAAGGGAGTGTGCTTTGGGTCAGCCAGTTAGTTCAGGGTCATTATTAACAGGCTTTAGGAATTTATACAGACACACGCAAATTTAGCATTAACTTTTTACTTCTTAAGTTGTTCTGGCCTGCAGGCATACATGCAGACAGAACACTGTATACATAATATATATAATATTTTTTTTAATTGTGCTGGGGATAAAACCTAGGACCTTGTACACCACTGGCAAAGACTCCACACTGGCAAGCACTTTGTACTAACTAAACCCCTCCCCTCCTCCAACCCTTAATTGTTAAGTTGAAAATGCATTTAAGGGGAGGGCGAGGGACCTGGGATTGGCATGTAAAATACTCTTCTTTCTAATTAAAATAATAATAATAAAAAAGAAAATGCACTTAAGTATTTTCAGCCCCTGGGATGGAGTCAGAGCTCAAGCCTGTAGTCCCACTGTGTGTCTGCAGTATCAGTGCAGCCTCAGCGGTGAGGGCCTTCCCACTCTCCCGTGTGAATGGCCTTGACATCCACACGCTGTACTGGCAAGAGTATCAGATGAAGGGTCCAGGGAAATGAGTGGCAGCTCCTGACCTGCTGAAGACTGAGTTGTCACAGGCACTGATACTTCATGTGGGTTATCATTTCACTGTGTGACCTTGGGCTGATAATCGTACCGTTTTTGTTGCTTTGTTTTTCTTACTTCTGAGAGAAAGGATGAGCTGAGGCAGTGGAGTTAACGTATGTTAGAGTCTTTGAAAAATGATACCGAGGGATATATGTGTGCTATAGCCTCACAAAGAGCCGGGATGGTAATCTCCAGGCCTTTGAAGTCTCTATTGCCCGCAGGAGGGATGTTGGCAAAGCTCTGGCTGATGGTGAACTTGATAGCCCAGCTTTGTGAGGGCAGAGTATGAGGCCCACAGTGGTGCTTCATCTGACACCTGAGATCCGGGTGTCTGTCTCCTGACATAAATGTGACACCTGCTGTAGGAGGACCAGGCCCTGGCAGCTGGTGTTCTGCAAGGGGAGGTTCAGCCAGAAGCAGGGGGCAAGTGACAAGTGGCAGTCATTCAATCAGCACATTCTTTAGCTCCAATTGCCCCTAGGGGACTAAGCAATGGCTGGGTGTCCACTGGCAGGATTAATGCAGATGCAGAGATGGGGAGGATCCAAATATAGGGCCCAGTGCCTGGCACAGAGTGTTTGCCTAGTGAGCACTGGCAGGGCCCTGGGGAAAGTCCATGGAGCAGAGAGGACCTATCTATTGCTATGCTACCACCAAGTCCCTGCCACCCTGTCTGCTTGCTCTCTGGCCGGTAAGCAGAGGAGAGACCCTTAGCAGTTTACACAATTCAAAAGAAGTAGGGATCCCTATCCCCTGACTCTCAAATCCAAACCCCCAATTCAGGAACGGTTAGGGGGAAAGAGATGCATTTTAAGCAGTTTGTGAGTTGGATACATTTAATTCAGTGCTCACAGCAGGCCTGGTGGATGGATGGAGCAGATGCTTCTGTTAAAGCAGCGTTAAAGAGATGCAGTGATTTGTTCAAGCCGTTACAGCTGCCACTCAAAAGCCTGAAGACTGCACTGTTGACCATCCAAATCTCAGTTATCTCAGAACCATGTAGACATACCTGTGACTTGCAGGTGAGAGTCTGGCTAGGTTTAACTTTACTGAGTTTCCTTCTTTTCCTCAATAGTATTATCCTTGGCCACAGAGAGAGTCATCAGTTAAAAAGGAATAGAACTGGTGTCAGTGACAGTTCTTCACTTAGTATAGACCTGAATTCAGTTCTGAGTTCTGAGTATGGCCAGGAAGCCAGGGATTTACATCCAAAAGTATATTAAGGAAGCCAGTCAATGCTCAGTTAGCAAGAAGAGGCATTAAGAGCATGGTAGCCAAATTAACCCAACATGATTCCCCTATTATCAAGTGGGTTGGGGCTGGAAAAATGTCTCAGCCATTTAGAGCAATTATCATGAGAACCAGAGTTCAGATCTCAGCATCCTTGTAGTAAGCTGGGTGTCCTGCACATGTGCAGGGGGACGGAGACAGGAGCATTGCTGGGACTTGCTGGCTTTCAGTTTAGATGAGAAAACATGAACACAGGTTCATGGAGAGACCTCTTCTCAATGGGAGTAGTTATAGAGAGATTGAGGGGGACACCTGATGCCTTCTGGTCTCTACCCATATAACACACACACACACACACACACACACACACACAATAGGTTTTTTTTTTAGATTTTTTTTTTAATTATGTGTCTGTGCATGTGCATGTACCCTTGGAGGAGAGAAGTTCTCATAACTGTGTAACTGAGTACCTGTGTAGTGACCCAAGGCTCAGATCCATAGCGAAGACCTCTGAGTCCAGCACTACTCAAAGCCCTGCTAAAGAGTGGCCACAGGAGAAAGCAGAAATGATGGCAGACATTGGCTCGTAAGGGCTGCCTTCTCTAATCTTGGGTGACAAGTAGATCTGTGACTCAGAATTCCAAGCTCCTCTTTCCCCATCTGTAAGATGAGAATGCTCACACCTGACCTAACTCCAGCTTCTTAAAATTAAAAGGCTCCCATGATGCCACACCTCTCAGATGCCATAGCCACATAAGAACAACCCCCACACACACCCATGGCATGCTCCAGCTTGTGATTCTGTGCCCACCCCTCCAAGTATCAGCACCCCTGCACAGGTGATGTCCACCTCTGTGTAGTCCATGCTCTTTGTTGTACTCTGTGGTTGTTTTTGCGTCACTGAGACACAGTCTTGCTATGCATCCCAGCATGGTCTAATCCAGCCTTAGTTCCCTTAGACTTTTGGTGCCTTATAGGCATCTGCCACTTTATTTAGCTGTTTCTTCTTATTTTGTTTATTTAGCTGTGTCCCTGTTGGTACTCACATAGGGATCCAGTGACTCTTCTGCCAACTGTTGATTCCCAGTTGGGTGTGTGGGGGAATGACTGTCAAACTCCTTTTACATGAACTTTTTTTTTTTTTCCACGCGTAAACTGGGTAAGAACCATGCTATATGGGTCCCCATGGTACATGGCAATAGCTCAGTTCCTTCTCTGATTTAGGGAAGGCAGAAGTCTTTCCCACCCTCTGCCCCGTGGACCGTGGCTAAATTTGTATCTGCTCCTGCCTTTTGAAGTGGGGTGAGGAAAAGAGAAGCAATCCCCTCTCTTATCTCTGCCTCCCTAACCTTACAGATTTATGGCCTCCTGAATTAAGCTGACCTTGTTTTTCTCTTCTTTCCCTTTCATAGGGTATGGCAGCTGGAAAGAACTGGCCAAGGCCCTGGCCAATAGGAACATCCCAGCTGTTGATCCAAATCTCCAATTCTATCCTTCCCAGAGGCTGAGCCTTAAGGTATGTGGCAGGTCCAGTCCCACCTCCCCCCCGCCCCCCCTTGCTGCTAGATCCTGCAGGACCTTCCGTTGCCTTCAGTTGCTCCATGGCTTTAAGGGAAATCTTCTCTGTGGTATGTGCAGAGGGGAGACATCTGGGAGAACCCAGTTCAGCCTCTAAGTAGTTCTAGAAGAATGCAAATATCTTTCTTGTCTTCCTCAAAGCCAGTGGCTCTCAACCTTCCTAATGCTGCAACCCTTTAATATAGTTCTTCATGTTGTGATGGCCCCCAACCATAAAATTGTTTCATGGCTACTTCATAACTGTAATTTTGTTACTGTTATGAATCGTAATGTAAATATATGATTGCAGGATATCTGATATGGGACTTCTGTGAAGGGGTCATTCCAGCCCCAGGGGATGTGACCTACAGGTCTCTCTCTCTCTCTCTCTCTCTCTTCTCTCTCTCTTTCTTTCTCTCTCTCTCTCTCTCTCACACACACACACAAACACACACACAGGGTTTTCTGCATATTAACCATAATATCCTGGAGACAGGACTGTATCTGATGAAATGGTGCTGAAAGCCACAGGTGCTAAAGGAGACAAATGCTCTTTCCTGCCAACAGCTGAGGTATAGTTTGTCATGGAGCATTTCCCTGTAGTGTTTCTCAGGTGGTAGATTAGGGAAACTGGGGGCCATTCCAATTTGGAACCCCACCCATGAAACAGTTGAGCCAAAACCAGACACAGAACCTCAAAGCTGGGCAGCACCAAAGTAAATCTGTGGACATATATGGTAGGGAGGATTTGCAATGTCTTTGAGAGGCTCCTTTCTTAAGACCAGTGACAGATCTGGATAAAACTTGGGGCAGGAGAGCAGTATTGAAGGAAAAGAAGTCACAGTTTCTGCCCCAAGGGGATCCAGAGTCAATTTTTTTTTCTCATGGAGCAGGTTGAAAAACTTGAGGGATGTGAGCCGACCTCAGGAGTTCATGCTGACAAGCCTGAGATATTCTCCTCAGCAATATGGCGTAAATAATGAATGAAAGCGTCTCTCTTTTTTAATAATTTATTTATCTCTATTTTATGTGCTTTGGTGTTTTGCTTGCATATGTGTCTCTGTGAGGGTGCCAGGTCCCCTGGAACTGGAGTTACAGACAGTTGTGATCTGCCTTGCAGATGTTGGGAATTGAACCCAGGTCCTCTGGAAGAGCAGCCAGTGCTCTTAACCTCTGAGCCATCTCTCCAGCCCCAAAAGTGTCTCTTAAGCTGACAAGCTTCCTAGGGACAGGAGCTGTGTCCCATGACCCCCAACTTCCCCAGGGGCATCTTCAAGGAGCCCTGAATCCTGTCCTATCTCTAATTTTTTATCAATATATTCACTAAGTTCATTCTTTGTTCTTCTGATAGGACCAAGACATTTCCCAGAGTAGGAGAAGGAACAATAGCTACTTGAAGTGGAACAAACCTGTCCCCTGGCTGTCTGAGGTGAGGAACTCTGCTGATCCCGGTCTTTATAGAGGCTTCAACAGACGAAACACAGAGTCCTCAGGAAACTGTCTTGTGATTATTGCTGTATTAAAATGTTTACCCCTACGCTCATTAGGTTTTTCTTCATTAGAGGAGTACAAACATTTGCTGCAGGCCTACTGTGTGCCAAGCTCTGCACATCATCTCACGTCAGCTGCTTTGCCCCTGTAAGGCGGTATCATTGTGTTAGCTCTCTGGCACCCTGGCAAACATCTGACACAATGGACTCCCAAGGAGGAAGGTTTATTTTGGCTCAGGGTTGTTTGGCCTGTCACTTTGGATCTTTGAAATATAACACATCATGGTAGACCTAGAGAATTAGTCTAACTTCAGGGTGGCTGAGAGCAAAGAAAGAGGGAATGGGGCTGGTCCTAATGTCCCCTCCAGCAACAGGACCCGTTTACTTTAGGTTCTGTCTCTAAAAGCTTCCCCATCACACCAAAGGCTGTGACCTGGGGACTTTTCAGAGCATTGTAGATTCAAGCGGTAACAGTCTTTATCCTTATTTTATAGGTGGGAAAGCCATGTCTGGGGAAGTTACTTGACTTTCATAGCCTTGCCAATCCCCAGTCTTAAAGATAACAACTTCCCCAAGAGTGCTTTCTCAAACCATTAAGTCCCATAAGATATTCCAGGAAGAAAGGGATCCATTGTTAAGTGAACTTAAAAAAAAAAAAAAAAAAAAAAAAAGACCAAAAACCCACTGTGCAGGACAACTGTTCTTGGAAATTCACATTAACATATGAAAGATTCTGAGAAGTCCTGGGGAAATCTGTTTAGCTTGGTTTAGCTCAGCATGTCCCAGATTTATCTGTCCCTGAACTGCCTTTTCCATGAATGCCTGTCAATATTTGGAGCCACCAATATTCTAAAGGAATGTGCATTAGGAATCTGCTTCAGAAAGTAGTTATTATGGGTCCAAAAATCACAACCAGGTGCAGTGGTAAAGCGGGTGTGATCACTTGAGCCGCACAGCAAAGAAACAGCCTATCTCTTTACAAAATCGCAGCCATCATGATACTGTTTACTAAAAGGCATTGATTTTCTTTTTGTTTTTGTTGTTGTTTGTTTTTTGCTTTTTGTGAGCTTGTACAAGTTACATTTAGTACATGCTTGTACCAAAACAGTGTCATAGCATGGTGCTTTGGGAAATCATATTTTACAGTGTGTTTAGAACCCAGGACCTCCAGCTTGGAGCTCTTGGTAGAGACTACTTTTCTTGGCTGTGTGGTCTGGGCCAGTCTATTGTCTTTATTGTTCCTATTACAGATTGATCTTGCAGCTTGGGTGGTTTTATTTCCAAACCACCCACTGAAGGGCAAGAGAGAAAGAGCCAATGTTAACTCCTCTACTTGATGAGACTGCCTCTTTTTAAAGTCCAGAGTGAGGATGGATTACCACGCTGGCACAATTGTTCTAGTTGACATCATTAGGCAATTGGAGATAGTATGCTGAGCTGTGCTGTAAAAAAGAGCAGGTGGGCCTGGTGATCCAGCCTTCTCTCTGGAGGGCAGCTTTGCTTATCCTTCCTTCCTTCCTTCCTTCCTTCCTTCCTTCCTTCCTTCCTTCCTTCCTCCCTTTGTGTTGTTGCTTGTTTTGCTGTTTCATTCAAAATAGAGTTTCTCTATGTAACAACTCTGGCTGTCCTGGAACTCATTCTGTAGACCAGGATGGCCTTGAATCCATAAAAATCTGTAAGCCTCTGCCTCCCAAGTGCTGGGATTAAAGTTGTTGGCCACCATCACCTGGCTTGTTTATTTTTGAGACAGGGTCTCCTGTAGCCCAGGCTGGCCTTGAACTCATTGTATAGTTGAGAATGACTTTGAACTCTTCTTAATCCTCTGCCCCCATCTCCCAAGTGCTGGGATTACAGGCATGTGTCACTACTTCTAGCAGGCTCTCATTTGTGCCCCACCCACCCCCGTCTTGGTCTCTGTCTCTCTCTGTCATTTTGGAGATGGGGTCTCAGGCTAACTTGACATTTATGATCCTCCAGCCTCAGCTTCCTGAATGCTGGGATTATAGACACGTGCCACCACCAAATCAAATCCCACCATATCTGTCCTGGGATTGACTTTTTTTTTTTAGATTTTATTTATTTATTATGTATCCAGTCTTCTGCCTGAATGCCAGCAGAGGGCACCAGATCTCATTTAAGGTGGTTGTAGGCCACCATGTGGTTGCCAGGAACTGAACTCAGGACCTCTGGAAGAAGTCAGTGCTCTTAACCGATGAGCCATCTCTCCAGCCCAACTTTTTTTTTTTTTTTCCTAAAAAAAAGAGGGCTTTATTGACATGGAACTCAAAGAACCAGCTTCTGTCTACTGAGTGCTGGGGTAAAAGGCATATGCCATCACACCTGGCCAGGATTGACCTTTTTAAAGAAATAGTTGGTGTCTTAGTACATGTAGGTGACCTTTTAGTAGTAAAAGACTGATTTCCATGGATTTCATCTTTAAACATTAAAAGATTTAAAATCCTTAATCTTTATAGATCTTTAGGGAATCCTCCTAGGTCAAAGAGATGAGTAGCATCCACTGCAATCCAGCTTTTCCGTCCCTCCCATTACAGTGACTTCTGTGTGCTCAGCTTAGTGGCTCTCAGATTAGGGTGCTCACCCCCTTTGTAGGCAGTATGTCTGAGAAGGTGCAGTTAGTGGGGAGTCTTGTTCTAAGCGGAAAAAGGACTAAATGTAAAGACATTTCTTTGTTTTCCAATCTCAGTATTTGCCTGTCTGCTCTGAGGCCAGGGTCATTCCAAGAGGTAGCAGGAGTCTTAGCCGCTATCCTTGGTGTGTCAGAGAGGATTTAGTGGATTGGACAGCTGGGACTGAGTGCATGGTCCTTAAACCTCCCGTGTCTACCAGCAAACTCCAGTGCCAGCCACTTTATATGCTGGTCAGTATGCAGGTCCATTGGTCCACTCTGTCTGTCTGGGTCATTTCTCCAAACAAAAGTAATTACAAGCCAGAAACTTGGTGAACACAGCTGACCTAACTAGCCACAGTGTTTGTGTTACTATACAACTTTGGTAGATGATGTGTCTTACCTGTGGACAGGCGCAGGACAGAGACTCGGGGGTTTTGACGTAGGGTAGATGATGTGTCTTACCTGTGGACAGGCGCAGGACAGAGACTCGGGGTTTTTGTTGTATTTTGTTTCCAGCACTTAATCCAGAGCCCCATGCATTGTTTCAGGATATTTTTTTTGTTTTTGTCTTTTTTTTTTCCTGTTCCTTTGTTTTGGTGTTTTGAGACATGAAGCCAAAAGCTTCTTAGAGCTTAAATTAGCTCAAGATATCCTAGAACCCTCAGTGATTCCTTGCCTCAGACCACAGGCTTCTGTCACCACACTTAGCTTGTTACATTTCGTGGGCAGAGGGAAGAAGACAGCTTTCAGGAATCAGTTCTCATCTTCCACCTTATAGGGGCAGGGTCTCTTTTTTCTGTTGTGCAGTATGCTCTAGGCTAGCTCTGGGTGATTCTCCCATCTCACAGTAGGCCTGCTGGATTGCAGACTTGGTCCACTGACCAGCTTTTCATGTGGCTGAAGATGGAGCTCAGGTTGTTGGGTGTGGGGCAAGCACTTGACCACTGAAGCATCTCCCTGGCCCTTGTTACTCCTTCTAAAAAAAGATGGATTTTGGAGAGGGATCTGATGGTGTGTATCCCCCAGCACTCGGGAGTTTGAGGCAGGAGGATCACTCTGGGTTTGAGAATAGCCTAGGCCATATGTTGAGACTTTGTCTCAAAAACAAAACAAAACAAACAACAAAAATGTTACTGAGATCTAGTTCATATGCCTTACAAGTCACTCACTCATAGTGTACAGTCCAGTAGCTTTCAGTATGTTAACAGAGCTGTGCTTCGTCGAAGACTCCCTGTCTGTCACTTGGTGGTAGAGCATTTGCTTGAAATTTGTGAGGCCTTAGATACAATTCATTGTACTGCTAAATAAGTAAATGAACAAATAAATAATAATGAATCCAGGGCTGGGGTTGTAGCTCAGTTGGTAGAGTACTTGCCTAGCATGCACAAAGCCCCTGGGTTCGGTCGGCAGTATAAATGGGGCACAGTGCTGCACACCTGTAATCCCAGCACTCAGGAGGTGGAGGCAGGAGGGTCGTAAGTTTACATTCATCAATGGCTACATAACAAGTTTGAAACCAGCCTGAGCTACATGAGACGTTGTCTCAAAAAAGCAAAAGAAAGCCCTGCATCCCCAGCCATCCCCTCTCACCACACTCTTGTCCCTCCTTAGGTACAGAGCTATCTACTTTCTTTATAATTAAAAAAAATTATTTTATGGGTATGAGTGTTTTGCTGAATGTATGTATGTACACCATATGTGTTTCTAGTGCCCATGGAGGTCAGAAGAGGGTGTCACATCCCCAGATCTAGAGTTATAGGTGATTATTAGCCACTATGTGAGCGCCCGGAACTGAACCCATGTCCTCTGTAAGAGCAAAGTGGTTTACTTCCTGTCTCTACATTTGCCTATCCTGGATACTTCATAGAAATGGAATCATGAAATGTGTTTCTCTGTGTCTGGCTTCTTTCACTCATATGGGTTTGCAGAATTCATCCACAAGGTAACATGGCATGTTTCGTTCTTTGTTGTAGCAGTGTAAGATGGCATCGCATGGTAAATCACACATTAAAACGTCTCCAGCTGAGACAGCAGAAGGGATGAGTTATTGTTCATGTGTTGCATTTGTATCTAAGAGTAGAGTGTGACAGGGTCCAAGACAACTCTCAGAGACTGTCTTGGTCCTACCAAAGTGGGCTTTGGTGATGCAACGGCCATAGGAGTTCTAGATCACTAAGAGGAACGTTCTAGACGGACACACCAGCTCCCTGGTTTGCAGGGCACAGCTGTCCATCCACTTAGCTATCTGCTAGTCTTTCGTTGGCTTTGGCCTACACATTTGCTTCTCCCTCTACTTGGCTCTCATGGAGCAGAAGTTCCTGGGAGGATGGTGTGGAGACAGGGAGAACTATAATCCACATTTTATTTATCCCTTCCTCTGTTAGTACACAGATTGTTGCTAATATGGGGGTCACTTTGACTAATCCTGCTATGAACACTTGGGTATGATTTGCTGTGGGTTGGGCTCTCCTGTTTTCAGAGCCCAGGTCACCATCACTGCAGTTTGTCTCTCCTCCTCCACACTCTGGCTACACGGTGAGACACCTGGAGCATGTCAGTTCCTTATGAACTTTCTACATGAATGGGGAGATTTCACCTGTTAGGATCCACAGAATGGGCCTCCAGCCTTCAAAAAGCTTCAGAAGCACCCTTATCTTTCTAGCATCAGGAGCCCTTCATACCACAGGGAGCACTGTCAACTCAATAGTAGGCCGGAGGTTAGGAGTGTAACCCAGATTCCATTCCCAGCACTGTTGAGGAAATGGAAGTGGGGAGGAGTAGACCAAGCTCCGAATGCTGTCCAGGAGCCAGTGTATAGGAACCAGGGGCTGATTGGCTGCACACTGAGGTCGGGTAAGGCCTCACTGGCTCCAAGCTGAACCATCCACCAGGTGTTCTGGGCTTGTGACAGTGCAACAGCTACAGCAAGGGTCAGCCAGAGGCCACAGCTAAGGTATCTGATCTCTCCTGTCTCTCTGTCCCACTGCAACAGCTCCAAACACAAGCGACACCGTCTACACATCTCAGGTCTTGGTCTTTGATTTGAGCGCTCTCTCGCCCTCTCCTATGGCTCTCTCTCTCTGCCCCTCGCTGTCCCCCCCTTCTCTCCATCTTCTCCCCAGGTAAGTGCTATACTCCTGAGCCGCATTCCACCCTCTTTCATCTGACTGCACAGTGGACACATGAACTGGTGGGAAGCACCCAGTAGTGGAATGGATCGCTCTGAATTCAGCTTCTCCAAGCCTCTCTCTGTTCATTAGATAATTCAGATGTGCTGGGACATGGAAAGGAGCTGTTAGCTCGTCCCAGGGCAGGCACAGTGGGCCCCAGAAGTATTTGAGACAACTTTGGAAGAATAAATAGGACTCTGCCGTGTGGGGACGAAAACACAGGGCCTGATTAGGAAATAGTATTTGGGGAAAGCAGGGCACATCGAAAGCTGGATGGTTTTGGGCAAAGGCTGGAAGTTAGATGTGGGTAGGTATGGCAGGGAGGGTGTGGTGTGTGGTAAGGGCTGGGAAGGCAGGTCGGTCATAAACCATGAGGTTATTCTGCAATCACCTCAAGTTTTCAGCCTCAGAGTGACTTGCTCCATCCCACCAGCCCAGCTGCTTCAGAAAAGTCCTGGAGGCCATAAGAGGACTCAGTGCAGGAGAGACACTGTCATCCACTTAGGCCACATGTCACATGCTGGCCTGGCCAGCCCGGAAGGCCCAGCAGAGGTGGAGTGATGCAAGGGAAGGCAGTAGGGCAGGCCTAACCCCCACTTTCATGCTCCCTTCTGCCCTCCATCTCCACAGGGCAATTGCTGTGTGTTCTCAGGAAGTCACTTCCTGAGCCCTGATACCCCCCTTTCTAAATGAGACCATCCAATAGACACTTTCTCCACTACAGCTAACTGCAAGTTCCAAACCATCACAACTGAAGCTTGGAGGAAGCCCTCTGCTTCCTGGCCTTTTGCCTATACTAGGCAAGGGAGACGGGCCGGCCGTGAGGCTGGTGTGCCAGAGTGTCACATCCTTGCTAGCTAGTTCCAAGTCCCTAAAATGGAGTGACACAAGCTCTGATGTAGTTGTCAGTCTGGGTCTGGGAGGAAGACAGTGTCCAAGGGTCTCCAAGACACAAAGGTCTGAGACTCAGCCGAATGCTGGGTGAGGTCGACCCCAGAGAAAGGACTAATTCTCTCATTCACTCTTGGCCTGCCCTGCTGGCTTCCCAGAGGCACCTCAGGTTCCCATGGCCAAGCTAGATGGTCTGGGGAGGAGCTGTGCAGGGTTTGTGTCTACCTGCCCTCCGGCCAAAGCTGCTCTCATGTCAAACCCATTCTCATGCCTGCCTGGAATCCTAGCTCCAGGCTTCACACAGCAGGCCTCTCTCTCTGGTGGCTATGTCCTCTGCTCTTCCGGGGACCAGAGCTCTCTGACCTGGAGGTCTCCTGGGGAGGGCCAAAAGCAGACCACTTGGAGGAGACAACAGAATCTTTTAAGCTGGAGTTGAGGAATTTCCCTAGAAGCAGCATAATGTCCCTATTCTTTCCTAACTCAGAGTCTCAACCCGCCTCCCACCTACCAGCCCACACACTTTCTCACCCACCCAGCCTCCTACTTGCATTCCTGTGAGTGATGGCTACTTCCCAAAGTCCCACATTCCAAGTGTTGACCCAGCTAGTGTGCATAAGGGTCAGCGAGTGACAAGCTAGCCTGTCTTCAGGGTCCAGCAGTGGGACAAGTGTCCGTGAAGCCTTGCCCATCATTGCCGTGTAACTTAGACCCTCAGCACTCCTGTAGAGCACGTCCCTGATCCCTGCATACCTCTTTCAAAAAGGAATTGTGTGTTGGGAGGTATACCTGTGTGCTGGTGCCTGTGGAAGCCAGAGGACGACCTCTGGTGTCATTCTCCAGTATCTCAAAAGTACTTTGACTTTTGAGATAAGATCTCTTTGGCCTGGGCTTATCTCTTTAGGACTAGGATGGCCAGAGAGCTCTAGAGATCCTCCCGTCTCTCCCTCCCCTCCTTAGGATTCCAAGCTCCCACTACCCTTTTCAGTGACTTCTGGGGATGGGGCTCAGGCCCTTGTGCTTGCTTAGAAAGCACTGTGCTAACTGAGCCATCTTCCCAGTACCCCCTCCTGCATCACTGCACAGAGGACCCAAAGTGAGTCCTTTAGTCCCAGTGACTGTCCCTCTTCTGCCTACTTGTTTCTTAAGACTCACTCAGATTTTGGATCTGACCAGCTGCAGTTGGGCTTGGGGGGGGGGGCTGGGACAGGCCCTGTTTGTGTGCATGGATGAGACACCATGTGGAATGGGCTCAGCTCTGGTGAAGGACTGTGGAAGGAAATGGACTGGAGTGATTTGAAACTGTGTGTGGGCTGGGACTATACCCCAGCTTCTTCTCCCTTTCTCAACACAGCGCCTCCACTCACCTGGAATATGGCTGTTGACTTTGTCCTGCCTCTGGAGAGAGCGTCTGCTCCAGGTCTAGGCCTGTCCCCCTCCAATGCCACAGCTGAGAGGGACAGAGAAACTGCTTCTGCCAATACAGTGCTGCCAGAAGCCTGTGACCTGCAGGAGGCCCTGATGCTGCATGGCCTGGAGGGACCCCAGATACCTCCATAGTCTTGTCAGAGTGTGAAGACCACTGTTAAGGTTTCCTGACAGCAGACTGCTGCAGGGCCTTCCATGAGGAACAGGGGAGAGATGGTGGGCAAGCTCTTGGCTGGAACCTAGCCAAGCCCCTCCTAGTTCCCCCTGTTACTTCTGCCATGGTGCCATGGCTGTTATGTCCCTCACCTGTGCCTGAGGAAAGCATAGCAGCTCTCTTCTTGCCTGGAAAGAACAGTATGCTGTGTGTATCTGTAGGCATGTGTGCATATATGACCCCATCCTTAGAGTCAGGCCACAGGGCTGGTATTAGCTTTCCATCGTGACAAACATGCCTGAGATAAACAAATCATAAAGAGGCAAGGATTGCTTTGGCTCACTGTTTCAGAGGTTTAATCCTAGGCTTGCTTGGCCCATTTGCTTTGGGCTTGTGGCAGCTGAGTACCCCATGGTGACAAAAGACTGGAAAGTAGAGTAAGACAGAAAGTAGATGGGATTCCCCCCCCCCCCCGCAGTATCCTCCTCAGGGGCACAGCCCAGTGACCTAGATGTCCTCTGCTACGTCCTCATGGCCTAAAGGTTCCACCATCTCCTAGTAGCACCACGGGCTGGGAGCCAAGCCTTTTATAGAATATGTAGGCAGCACTGTGCACATCTGCTCCAGGGCTGAGCGCAGGCTGCTCCTATTCGCTCATTGTCCCTTCTCTGCTCCACACAGTTCCAGGGCCATGCCAACCTGCATGTGTTTGAAGACTGGTGTGGCAGCTCCATCCAGCAGCTCAGGAGGAACCTGCACTTCCCACTCTACCCCCATGTAAGTGCCTTGGGGCTGTCTGCCCTCCGTCCCCCAGACCATCCTCTGTGTCTCCTCTGTCTCATCTTTCCCACCTGCCTCCTTCTCTGCCCCTTCTCAGTCCATGGCTGTCTGTATTATTCCCTCAGTCTCTCGGGCCCCCTTTCCTCTGTTTAGAATATCTTTCTTGTTCTCCTTCCCTGAGACTCTTGTAAGCTGGCACTCTGCAGCGTTTTAGTTAATGCTCTCTTGGTATTTACCCAGGGCCAGCATGTACACACGCACGTGCTGTGCATTGGACAAAGCCACCTGGACCAAGAACTGAGTGGGACCTGACATTTATCTTGGGCTCCACATGCCATGCTACACCTAGTCTCTCATCTCCTGGTCCCTTCCTGGTCTTCGCACCAGTCTTGAGTAGCCTGAGCTCAAATTCCTTAAACTTTTCTTTCTGATTCTGAGTAACAGTTCATCTTTCTCGACATAGATCCGCACAACCCTGAGGAAGCTGGCTGTGTCACCCAAGTGGACCAACTATGGTCTCCGCATATTTGGCTACCTGCACCCTTTTACCGATGGTGAGGCAGCCCTAAAGCCTCATCCTTTTTCCTGCTCTTAAGTTCTTCAGGGAGGTCTTAGAAACATATGCCCGAGCTAGGAAATACATCTGCATTGAGCCCCCGTTAGCCCATCATCAAGGGAGAGGGGAAACTGAGGCATGGGGAACTCTCACCCAATATCTTTAGGCTGCTGCCTCTCTCTCTCTCTTGCAGCTGGAACTGGCTGGTCTCCATAAGTCTTCTCCATCTTCATATTTACCCCAGAATGTAGAGTCACCCACCCCCATGCAAAGGTGGGGGGCAGTAAGACACTGTGAGTGAAGAGAATTAAGGCTCAGGCATAATGTAGGCTTTCAGCCCTGGTGCCAAGGCCCTCCTTGGCTCACTCAGATGCTCTGCCACTGCCCAGGGAAGATCCAGTTTGCCATTGCTGCTGATGACAACGCTGAATTCTGGCTGAGTCGTGATGACCAGGTCTCGGGCTTTCAGCTGCTGGCCAGTGTGGGCAAGGTAGGGTCAGCTTGGCCTCTGGTGTCTTATTGACCCCCTGGAACAGTCAGTCATGCGGTATATGAGACTACTGTGAACCTCCTTGACTTTTAGCATCGCAGATGTGTAGAAGGGACAGAAGCCATACATGGTACCCTCATCTCTACTCTATACTACAAAGGGCATGTGAGATGTCTGCAGAGTGGGGACCCAGCCACATACATCTTTTGGGTTCCACTGTCCCTTAGCCCCATGCTGAAAATTCATGCCAGCTGGTTGCCTATGGGAAGGCTTCCTTCCATCAGCAGGGCAGATGTGTGTTGGCCAGCCATTCTCCTTAACTCCGTCTTCTCTCCTCTCTCTCTCTCACCTCTCCTCTCCCTTTCCCCCACCCTCTCTCCTGCCCTTCTCTCTCCTCACACTTCTAGACAGGAAAGGAATGGACAGCCCCTGGAGAGTTTGGGAAATTTCAGAGTCAAATTTCCAAGCCAGTGAGGTGAGTAGAAAGAGTTACCGCCACCCTCTTGTGTGTTCCTTCAGGCCTATCAGCATGAGAGAGCTGGGAGGGCCCCTCCTCACCATCCCCCCCAGCTTGCCTGAGTGTCCACATGATCTGCCTACACAGAATCATCTGCCCTGCCTTTCCTCGTTTTATAAATGCTTTTTTAGGCTTTTTTTTTTTTTAAATGAGTGTGTTTTGCTTACACCTATATGGTTGTGCCATTTGTGGGTCTGGTACCCTCAGAGGATAGGAGGATTATTGGATCCTCTGGAACTGGTTTTATAGGTGGTTGTAAGCTGCCATGTGGATGCTAGGAACCGAACTCTGGTCCTCTGCAAGAGCTGTGCTCGCTCTCAACTTCCAAGATGTCTCTCCAGCCTCCTTCCTCATTTTAGATGAGGCCACTCAAGCCCAGGGAAGCTTTGTGACTGATTGAAGGCCACACAGATACTGAGTGACACTCAAGATTAGAAAACAGGTCTCCTTTCTCCCCATCCTTACCTTCCCATTCTCTCCAGACCTATAAATGCTCTCACACATAAAGGCTGCCTAGTGGTTGCTCTGGGCTTAAGAGAGGGATCTGTACAGGGAACTGGAAGAGTGACTTTGAAGTGATCCTGGGAAATCAAACCTTTTCCAGGGGACAGTAGCTAGAATGGCATAGCTGGACTATGAACTTAGTCCGGCTTCAGTCTGCCACCTTGTGGCCGGCACAGGCATAGGCGAGACCATACGCTGGCTAGAAGCCTCCTTGAGTAGACCTAGTTTGCAAAGAGCCTTGTTGCCTGCCAGCACTAGTGTGAGCATTCTGAGTCCTCTTAGTGGTTGATGCAGACCCTAAAGCAAGGCTGCCTGGTCTAAATTACAACTTCGTTGTTTACTACCTGGGTGACATTGGGCAGATTACTAAAGATTACAGTGCCTCTTCCTTGCAGCCAAAGAGTTTCAGTCAAAGCACTGAGGATGGTCCTGGCATGCAGCAACTGCTCAGCAAGGCCTGACCCTGAGTGCTGTTTCACTGGGTCCCCCAACTGACTTGTGAACTACTTACATTTATTTGGCCCTTGCAGAAAGAAGACCAAGGTCAAATGTCAGGGGTGGGTGGGGGATAATTAAATGGCAAGCTCTTGGGAAGAGAAAGGAGCACCAGGGAACTTATAGGTGGGAGAGATGGATGAGGTAATCAGCTAAGGAGAAGCTCTTGTTTCCTGTCTCCTTCTGCCAGCTTATCAGCCTCCCTCAGGTACTACTTTGAGGTGCTGCACAAGCAGAACAATGAGGGAACCGACCACGTGGAGGTCGCGGTAAGTGACTTCATCGCCCTCCCCACACCCATTCCCACCGCCTTTCCCAGCATTCCCTTCCCCATAGCTCTTGAACACTTCCCCAAATCCAGCGTCCTCCAACGTCTGTGCCCTTCCTCTAATTCTAGTGGAGAAGGAATGACCCTGGAGCCAAGTTCACCATCATTGACTCCCCCTACTTATCGCTCTTCACAAGTGAGTAGGCTCTGCCTGCCTGGAAGCACATGGGGCTCCATTCAGGAGAATTCGGCCCAGGGTGAGGTCTGAGGGGTGGAGATGAAGTTCTGCTACTTAGAGCACGTGTGTGAAGTAGGTCCAGAGAGGATGAGAGCCTGAGGGACCTTACAGGTAGGGGGCCTTTACTCTCTGGGATCAGAGGTCTATGTAAGAACATGTGAGACACAGGTATGGTGGTTTCAGGTTTGTTAGTTTGTTTTTTCAAGACAGGGTTATCTGTGCAGCCCTGGCTGTCTTGGAACTCTGCTCTGTAGACGAATCTGGCCTTGAACTCAGAGATCCACCTGCCTTTTTTTTTTTTTCAAAAATTTTTTTTTTTGGCAGATGTTTTTTTTTTTAATTAGAAAAAAAATTGTTTTTCATGTCAATCCCAGTTCCCTCTCCCTCTCCTCCTTCCCTACCAGCCCTCCCAACTAAAACCCTACCTATCACATATCCTTTCTGCACCCTGGAGGGTGAGGCCTTCCATAGGAATCCACCTGCCTTGTGTCTTTTACGTGCTCCCTTTTCTCCCTTTGTGTCTAAGGGACAAGCTGTGAACTGCTGGGTATCAGAGAAGGAAGTGGTATCAGAACCCACAGATTTGGGGGCTGGACAGATAGATGGCTCAGTGGTTAGGAGCACCTTTTGTTCTTGCAGAGGCCACATTTTCAATTCCCAGTATCCACATAGTGTCTTCACAGCCATCCCTAACTCCAGTTCCAGGGATTTGACACCTTCTTCTGGCTTCCACAGGCACCAGACACGCACATGGTGCAGACACACATGCAGGACAAAGGTTTGTACCCATAAAATAAATACATTAAAAAAGTAGAGTCCACACGTTTGATGTGATAACATCTGCGGCTGAAGGCAGAACCCAGGAGGCAGAGGCAAAAGGCAAGCAGCCAACTCTCCAAGATTTATTTATTTTTTATTGTGTATACAGTGTTCTGCCTGCATGCATGCCTCCATGCTAGAAGAGGGCACCATATCTCATTATAGATGGTTGTGAGCCACCATGTAGTTTCTGGGAATTGAACTCAGGACCTCTGGAAGAGCAGCCAGTGCTCTTAACCTCTGAGCCATCTCTCCAGCCCCTGGAGAAGAATTTCTTAAACATCTCCCAACGTGAGATGCTTTTAGCCTGAGAAATCTGCACATGACTTCAGGTGTATGGGTCTGTAAAGTGAAACCGAGGCTCACTGTTTGGGCTAGGCTGGCTGCCAAGTGAGCCCTTGGGAGCTACCTATTTTTGCACCACAGCACTGGGGCTACAGGCTATGCCCAGCTTTTATGTGGACTCTGGAGATTCAAAGTCTTATGTTTATACAGCAGACATGCTTACTTGCTGAGCCAGATCCCCAGCCCCTTGGTCAATATTTTAATTTTATAATCACTAATGCTGAGAGCACTGCTTTGCATAAATCATTGCTGGGATCACCACTTTTAGCACAAACAATGGTACAAACTTGAAGTTATGTTAAGGGTCATTTTGGAAATCCTGTCTTAATTCTAATCCAAAATTCACCTCACAGCTTTTCAAAGTGCTCACAGTTTTGTTTCCTGTCATTGATCTGGTGTGTTTCCACAAGAACGTACAACTTCAAGCCTGGTGGTGGTGGTGCACACCTTTAATCCCAGCACTCGGAGAGCAGAGGCAGGTAGATCTCTGTGAGTTCGAGGTCAGCCAGGTCTGCAGAGTGAGTTCTAGGACAGCCAATGCTGTCACACAGAGAAACCCTGTCTGGGTGGGGGATGGGGAGAGCATTAACTTCACATATACATTAAAAACACCTTATCATAGCATGCAATAGTCTTGAGCCTGAGCCAGTGTTTCAGGGACTGTTCACTGGCATTGCGAGGTGTGTGGCAAAGTACGTACATCGTATGTTCAGAACCAAGGCCGATGCTGTGTGGTCTAACCAGAAACCTTTTACTATTGATACATTTTTTCACAACCCCCATCCAGTTACACCACTCCATGTGGGTGCTTGACCACCAGCTTAAGCTGTGGGCTGGAGAAGAGAGAGGTGGTGTGAGCAGTCTTGAGGACTCAAAATGCCAGAGTCAGAGCCCCAGCCTTGGCTGTGATAAGCGGTACTGCAGCTGACAGGGAATGCAGATCAAGGAGGGCCACTGTAGTGCTGTGGATGCCTGGGGAGCCTGGTTCACCATGTTCACATGGTGCCAAGAGATGGTATATGAGAGGCTGCCCACCCCAGAGGCCGGAACTAAAGTGCATGGGTGGTATCTTTCCCTCTTACCAGAGAAGCCTTAGGTTCAAACCCCAGTACTGCCAGGAATACCCAGGAAGTATGATACAGGTGTAGGCTAAGGGAAAGTAAGTAATATGACTGAGCTAGGTTTCTGTCAGGTCAACAGTACAGCATTTTGAGGGGGGGGGGAGATATCTTTTTCTAGTCTATGCAAAATCATGATGTGTGCTGGCTATGAATGAGGTGAAGCAGGCTCAAAGGCAGCCGGCTAGAACCACAAATAGGGCAGGGGCTCGGGCATGGCTCAGACTTTACCTGCAGGAATACCGAGGCTGTACCTGAGCTCCTCCACCTGCCCTGCAAAGCCCACTCGATTCTGCAAGGACTTCAGCTTCCTACTGTTCTCTCCTCCCTGGCCACAGATGAGACCACCCTAAGGATGGATGAGGTGGGCCACATCCCACAGACAGCAGCCAGCCATGTGAGCTCCTCCAACACTCTTCCCACGGATGAGCAGCCCCCAGCGGACATGCTGCGGCCTGACCCTCGGGACACCCTCTATCAAGGTAAATCCTTGGTCACATACTGATGATCTGGGGCTGCACATGCCAGATGCTCTGTTGATGGACAAGACTCGGGAGACCCATCTGTTCTACAGTAACTCCAAAGTCACAAAATCTTTTCCCCTTTGAAGCGTGAAACATAGCATACATACCAAAATTACAAGAGCATTTATGTCCAAGTTTATGATTTTACGAGTTGTTATATAATGGACATTGTCTAACCACCACCCAAGACCAGAAATGGGATTAGAGTCCAGATGCTCTCATGCAGTTCTCGCTGGCCACAAATGTCAGTCTCTTTATGGATCCCAACTCTCATCATCCAGGAAGGAATATGTTAGTCTTTTGTTTTGATACTGAGGGCTGAATCTGGAGCCTGTAGCTGAGCATGTGCTGGACCACGGAGCACATTCCCAGTAGGTCATGTTTACATTTTAAAAGCTGACAGTGAGCCCCATTTCTTCCCTTTAAAATAAATGAAGGCAGCGGCCAGACGTGTCATTTATATACAGTCCCAGCAGGCAGGAGGACAAGGCAGGGAGATCCTGAGCTTGCTACCATGGCTGACCCTGTCTCAGAAAAACAAAACTGAAAACTAGTGAAAACTGGACAGCAGGAAAGGTAGGAAATCCAGCTAATGGGGGAATACTGAGGTGGAGCCTCGGGGCCTATTGAAATGTCCCTGTGTCTCAGAGTCCTCTGCCCCTACCACCAAAGAGTGGTAGCAGCCTCACTGTGGCAGACCCAGCTGACAGTCAGGGATTGGGACCACAGTTGTCCCCAGTGAATACGACTGGAGAGGCTCGGGTGGAAGACGTTTGTGCTCTCCCTTCTTCACACACCAATCCTTTTCCCTTCTGTTCTCAGTGCCTCTGATCCCCAAGTCGCTTCTTCGACATGTCCTGCCTGATTGTCCCTACAAACCCAGCTACCTGGTGGATGGGATCCCGCTACGGCGCTATCAGGGCCTCCAATTTGTAAGTCATGTCCCTAGACCAAGGAGGACTGGGAGAAGGCCAGCTGCCTGTGGCTGGGGGTGTAGGAGTTGGGGGACGGACTAAAGCTGCTCTGTACTTCCTGTGCTCTAGCCTAACAGACAGGATGGCCTCTCGGGTCCCTGGGCTGCATCCCTGGATGGGCTTGCTAGGGCAGGCTGTCTGTCCTGCAGAACCTGCAGATGGATGCTCTGCCCTCGGATCTGTTCCATCCCCCAGTTCTGCAGCCTGGTGACTCTGCTCCGAGGGCCACTCAAACCCTGTCCTGCCTGCTCAGTCCCAGCAACTGGGTAGCCAGTGGCATTTTAAACTCACAGACAAGATGCTTGGGAAATGTACTAGACGTAGGTGGTGGCTTTATCTGTGTGGAGAGTGAGGGAGCAGAAAGAGATTGAAGATTGGAGGCAAAAAGGAAGTGGTCAAGAGTCATGGCCAGACCAGAGAGTTGGGCCATAACTGAGGACATTTTTGGTGGTGGAGCTCAGGCGCTGTTTAAGGGGCAAAGGAAATGGAGTGTAGAAAGGGTTCAGCGCTGAGAGAGTGGATAAAGAAAGGTTCTGAGCTGGAAGGAAGGGATCAGGTGGCCAAGGGAAGAGGAAATGGTCTTGGTGACAGCTAAAGGAGACGACGGCCCAGAGATCTTTCCTGGGAGCCTAAAAGAGCAGGCATGAGTCTGGAGTCTAGACTGCAGGAAGCCACATTCCCCACCGCAGGGGACCTCCCTTGTCCGGGTGTGGCTCAGCCCAGGCAGGCTGCTTCCTCCCAGGATCCCCCCCTCACGTATGCCCCTGTTTTCTCTGCTTTCAGGTTCATCTCTCCTTTGTTTACCCCAACGACTATACCCGTCTGAGCCACATGGAGACCCATAATAAATGCTTCTATCGAGGAAGTGCCTATAAGCAGGGCAGGTGTGCGGCCCTGAAGGGGACAAGCGGAGGGACTTTCAGGGGGCACTGTAGGAGTCAGGAGGGGCCTGCCTAGGCTAGAGGGGCCCCTCCACACCGAGGAGTCCTGGGTCTGCCTCACATGTTCATGTGTGCGCACACCCTCACAGAACATAACTCCTGCCCAGGTAGAAACCGGGAAGAATCTAGTGCCGGTCACATGCCCCTTCCTCTTACAGGTTCGGCTTCCAGGAGTATATCAAGTTGGACAAGCCAGAGAAGCAGGGACTGGAGCAGCCAGGTACAGAGACGAGTGCAGCTAAGGCTGTCAGGGCACACCTAGCTGGGTCTCTTTCTAGAGGACATTCTAGTCAGGCAGCCATGCACCGGAGAGCTTGGCATGCAAATCCCCTGATCGATCTCCTCATCACAATCCAGAGAGCCTTCCATTTCAGGTCTATGTAAAGAGAGATGCTTATCATGCCCTGGGGCAGTTGGGGACATGGGTGGCTGTGGGGACCCTGGCTCTGTACACTACTTCGAAGCATGCTATGGAGAAACCCTGTCTTGCTATGGCCTTCCTTCATGAGGGACAGGGTATGGCTGAGGTCACTTGTTGAATCCTAAATGGTGCTGGTGCTCGTGAGGTATTTATGTCACTCAGCTCACAACCTTCCAAGAGGTTGTTCTTCTTTTTCCCTCTTTTAAGCTTTTCTTTGCTTGCATAGATGTTTTTGTTTTTTAAGACAAGGTCTCACTGTGGCATTCAGAGTAGCCTGGAACTTGCTGTGCAGACCAGGCTAGACTCAACTTTGTGGCAGTCCTCCTATTTCTACCTCCTAATTGCTGTGGTTACAGGCATATGCCACCATGCTGCTTATCAGCCTTGATGTAAACAGCAAAACTGGGAGTGTGTGAGGAGGCGTAACTTGTGCAGGGTCACACAACAATTGGCCCCCACCTGGACCCCTCGGAATGTCTGTTCTGTCTCTGCCGTTCTGTGTCTTTTGGGAAGAATTGGAAACTCCTGAAATGAGGGCTGATTCTTAACAGGTTCTGAGGATGGTCTTCTAGAAGAATCCCAATATGGAGAAGTAGTGGAGGAAAGCCCTGCATCCCGAGACCAGGATACTGGGACACAAGGGAGAAAACCAAAGACTACGTCCCCCCCGGGGCTGGGTGTCACTGACTACCACCTCCGGAAGCTCTTGGCTCATCCACAGAGTGGCCCATCGGCATCTTTTTCCAAGCAGAACTCCACACCTCCCTTTCCAAGCAGGACAAGTAACATCCCAGGCCAGCAGCCAGGAAAAAGGAAGGGGAAAAGCACCCCTGCGCCCAGCCAAGATTTGTCTCATTCTGACAAAGGGACCCTGAGGAACCCGACTCTCATCCAGAGAGCCAGGTCCACTGGTGGCAGTCCTGGGAAGACTCTGGAGCAGTCCCAGTGGCTGAATCAAGTGGAGTCTTACATTGCCAAGCAGAGGCGGGGTGACAGCGTAGAGCCCCAGGCCCCCAGCAGGGGCTGGCATGGGGAGGAGGAAGTGGTGGTAGCAACAAGCCAGGAAGGAGAAGTGGAGGAAGAGGAAGAGGAGGAGGAAGAGGACGAAGAAGATGTGAGTGAGATGTTGGAATTCGTACCTGTGTTTGACCCGGTGGTGAACTGGGGCCAGACCTTCAGTGCGCAGAGCCTGGACTTCCAAGCCCTAAGGACAGACTGGATTGATCTGAGCTGTAACTCATCTGGCAACCTGCTGCTTCCGGAGCAGGAGGCCCTGGAAGTCATACGGGTCTTCCTGAAAAAGCTCAGCCAGAGGACCCGGGGGTAAGGTAAAGGGCTCCCCTGGAGCTGGGGCAGGGGTAGATGGCAGCCACTGCCCTTAGGGACCCTGACCTGTGGGATGAAAGCAGGGTTCCTGCTGCAGGAGTAGGAGACCTTGGCTGGTATTCTGGGGTGAGAGGTTGCGTGCCTGCACCCTGACTGGAGCTGAGGACTAGCAAGGCTTGGTAGACTAGTGTCTGCCCTCTGAGAAGGAGGTTGGGAAGAGAGAAGCAAGCAAAGCAGCCTCCGATGGAGGCTTTCCCTTAACCTCTCATCCTCTCCTTCTCTCTCATAGTCTCCTCCCGACTCCTCCTTTGTATGTTCATTTGTTTAATCAATCAAGATATTTTTCAGAGAAAATTCACATGCTATTAAACTCAGTATGGGGTGTGTACAAACACGCTGGGTTTAAAAATACCTTCACAGTAGAGTTAGTTCAGCTATCACTAGTGTCTACTAATTCCAAGGCATTTCCATTCTCTTTGTGTTCGCTTGGGTTCCTGCATTCCCACCAATCGGCAAGTGTTGCCCTACTAAGCTGTATCCCCAGCCCTTTCTTTTCCTTCTTTTTGAAATAGGTCTCAATGAGTTATTGAGGCTGGCCTTGAATTCATGGTGTAGGCCAGGCCTTGGACTTGAGATCCTCTTGCCTCAGTCTCCAGAGGAGCTGGGATTCCAGGCCTGCACCTCAAGACCTGAGGACAGGAAATGGAGAGGAGGGAGAGAAGTTCTCCCTGCTAGTTATTATTAAACAATTCTTTCCCACCATGGTATTCCACCTATCCAAGTGCATCCTGTATCTGACTGTCCTGCCTCTATCTGCACCCCCCTTCTTCCCAGGCTCTGGTAACCTCTGTTCCATTTTGTGCTTCCGTGAGATAGCTTTATTGCTTCCACATATACATGAGGACATGCGACATTTGTATTTCTGTGCCTAAATTATTTGTCCTACAATTCCATCCATATTGCTGTGAAAGGATTCTGCTGCTTATGGCTAAGTAATATTCCATCCTATATGTAAACCAATGTTGTTCACTCATTCACTCCTGGACAATGACTTTGGTTCAACATTTTGGCAGTTGTAACTAGAGCTGCAGTGCACACGAGGGCAGATAGATGCCTTTAACAGGCTGACTTCAGTTCCTTTGGATGGTGGGATAGCTGGATCAGATGGTAATCTAGTCATAGGTTTTTAAGGAACCCCCATGATTTTTTCTTTAGTAGCTGTATAACTTACACTCCCACCAATGTTTAAGAGAGTCACCGTCGGTCTGCATCCTCTCTAATGGCTCGTACTCTGTCATTTTAGTCTTCTTGACAGCTGTCAATCTTGCTGGGGTGAAATGGTATCATTTTGATCTTACCCTGATGATTAGTGATATTCAGTATTTTTTCACATACTTGTTAGCCATTTTTTAAAAGATCTATTTATTTTATTTTATACGTATGAGTATTTTGTCTGCATGCCTAGTGCCCTAAGAGGCCAGACGAGGGTGCTAGTGCCACCGTGTGGGCCCTGGGAAGCAAACCCAGGTCCTCTAGAAGAATACCAGTCTTTCTAGCCCATTTACCCCCACTTTCTGACCTTGTTTGGTTTTGTTTTGTTTCGACATGGAGACTCACTGTGTTGCCTAGGTCAGCCATGGTTTGTTTTTGTTGTGCCCTTCTGTGTTCTCTTCCTAAGTGCTAGGATTACAGGCATGTGCTACCATGCCTTGCTTTTGGTTTTTGTATGTGGCCTTGACTGGTCTGGAACTCACTATCTGAATGGGGCTAGCCTTGGACTCATAAGCAGAACTCTTGTTTCTGCCTCCCAAATTCTGGAATTATAGGCATATACCTGGATTTTTGGTGTTTTTTATTTTGGTTTGGTTTTTTGAGGCCATGTAGGTCTGGAATATAGGTCATGCCTATGTAGGTCATGCCTCACCATGTACTTTCTTATCCTTTTTATTTTTTACATATTTGAATTACAAACAAGATTGGATTACATGTACTTTCTTATCTTTTAAAAGTATCATGCCGGGCAGTGGTGGCGAAGGCCTTTAATCCCAGCAATTGGGACGCAGAGGCAGGCAGATCTCTGTGATTTTGAGGTCAGCCTGGACTACAGAGCTAGTTCCAGGACATGCTCCAAAGCTATGCAGAGAAACCCTGTCTCGAAAAACAAAAACAAGCCAGGTGGTGGTGGCGCACGCCTTTAATCCCAGCACTCGGGAGGCAGAGGCAGGTGGATCTCTGTGAGTTCGAGACCAGCCTGGTAGTTCCAGGACAGCCTCCAAAGCCACAGAGAAACCCTGTCTCAAGAAACCAAAAAAAAAAAAAAAATCAAAAACAAACAAACAAACAAAAGTATCTATCTATCTGGCCTTGGATAGAGAAATGGCTCAGTGGGTAAGAGCATTTACTGTGAAAACTTTAGGGCCCGAGTTCAGATTCCCACATAAAAGCCTGGCATGGCATGGCATGCATGTAATCCCAGCGTTGGTGGGTGGATACAGCAGATCTGCTGAGATTTCTGTTCACCTGGATGTGTGCTTCCTCCTGTTTGACGTAGCTGTACTTGTTCATTGTGGCTTTTTGTTGCCTGTGCTTTGAGGAGCATTCAGGCAGTCTTTGCCTAGAGCAATGTCCTGGGTGTTTTCTTTATCAGTGCCATCATTCCCAGTCCTAAATGGAAATGTTTGATCCCGACCGACTTTGGGTTGATTTTTATTCTCCCACACATGCAGTCTCCCCTCTCAAGACACCGCCCCCTAGACAAGGCGGGTTCTGCTGCCTTTGTTGCCAGTCAGTTGGCTGGAAATGCCTGACTTAGTCCCAGGTTCACTTGTCTGCTCTGTTGATTGATACCTGGGGGTTGTTTTTTTTTTTTTTTTAGTGCCCCCATGTTGGGTGAGTGTGCTTAAAACTGTATCCTCTTGGATTTTTCCTTTAATCAGTATGAAGTAACCTTTGTCTCTTCTGTTTTGGTTTGAAGTTTATGTTCTCTTTTCTCTTTCTTTCTTTCTTCCTTCCTTCCTTTCTTTTCTTTCTTTCTTTCTTCCTCCTCCTCCTTCTTTTTTTGTGCTTTTTTGAGACAGGATTTCTCTGTGTAGCTTTGTAGACCAGGCTGGCCTCGAACACACAGAGATCCTCCTGCCTCTGCCTCCCAAATGCTGGGACTAAAGGCCTGCGCCACCACTGCCCGTTGAAGTTTATGTTTTTTGATATTATAGAAATACTGTTTTCTAGTTCATTTGCTTGGAACACCGTTGCCATCCTTTCACCCTGAGGTAGTGTCTTTATTTGATGGAGAGGTGTGCTTCTTGGAAGCAGCAAATAGGTGAATCCTATTTCATATGTTTTTAAGATTCATTTTTATTTAAAAAGGTTTTTTTAAACCCTTATTTTAATTTTATGTGTATGAATCTTTTGCCTGCATGTATGTCAGTGTACCATGTGTGTACAGTGCCTGCAGAGGCCAGAAGAGGGTGTTTGGTCTCCTGTGGCTGGTGTTACAGATGCTTATGAGCTGCTGTGTAGGTGCTGGAATCCAACCCAGGTCCTCTGGAAAAGTAGCCAGTACTCTTAACAGCTGAGTCATCTTTCCAGACCCAAGATTTATTTCAAGTTGTGTGTATATTGGGTGAATGTGGGAGGGGTGCATGTGTGAGTGTAGCTGCCTCCGTGTTTAGAAGAGTGACATCCTCTAGAGATGGATAATTGTCAGCCACCTGTTATGGGTGCTGGGAACCCAACTCAGGTCCTCTAAAAGAACAACAAGCACCCTTAACCACTAAGCGATCTTTCCTGTCCCTGGGACCTGATTTTTTGTGTCTGTTTTTGTTGTTATTTTTGTTTTGTTTTGTTTTGTTTTGAGAAAGGGTTTCTCTGTGTAGCCCTGGCTGACCTGGAACTTGCTCTGTAGATGAGGCTGGCCTTGAACTCACAGAGTTCTGCCTGCCTCTGCCCCTAGGGTGCTGGAATTAATGGCATTTGCCACCACTGCCCAACTTGTTGGTTTTTCTCAATGTGGGTCAATTTCTCAAGGAATCTGTCACAAGACCCCTTATATTGAGTCTTAGAATTATAAAAGGCTTTAAAAATCATTTTACATTTGAAGATGAAGGAGTGAGTCTTAGGGAGGTTGTCTAGGAGCTTCTTACCGCTAACCAATGGCAAGCAAAGACAAAACAAGGATCTCCTGACTACTGGCCCTGCAGGCTTCTACCTCACCCTCTGCTCACTCTAGCCACTCTGTCCCTCAGGAGATACCAGCTGCAGCGCATCCTGAATGTGGAGAAGCGCCAGGACCGGCTGCGTGGGGGGCGCTACCTCCTGGAGCTGGAACTGCTGGAAGGCCAGCGCCTGGTGAGGCTCTCAGAGTATGTGTCCACTCGAGGCTGGCAAGGAAGTGACATCACTGCTGGGGAGGACACAGAAACCCGGAACCTGCAGGGCCTGGTCTGGAGCCCCCGTAGTCACAGACATACCCTGAATGCCCAGGATCCAGAGCCAAAGCTATGCTGGCCCCAAAATTTCTCCTGGAACCATCGAGCTGTGGTCCACTTTATTGCGCCTGGTAGGTTTTAGCAGAATGGGGTCTTGGTAATCACCTGTGAGCACCGGGTCTGTTTTATTTATGAGTGAAGCCACTTTGCCATTGAGGAACTGGGATTCACAAAAGAAAACATATTGAACTGTTGTGTAGTTAGCGAACAATGGAGCTGAGATCTCATGCTGAGTCCAAACCACTGCTTTCTGTCATGCCAGGTCTCAGGGTTGGGTGTGAGCATCAACTTGGGTTGTTGTTGGAGAAATAAGAATGAGGGTATCATATAAAGTGGGTTTTAGTTTGATTTTTTTTTTTTTTTTTTTTTTTTTTTTTTTTTTTTTTTGTGGTGCTGGAGATCAAATCCAGGATCTGGCACTTGCTAAACAGGGCCTGGAGCGACACCTCCAGCCCTAGAATGGTCTTTACAATGAGAAAGGAAAACACAAGAAGTGTGTAAGAATGAAGGACAATAGACGAAAGGTCTAAGTAAGATGGATAGACAACAAACGTCTGTTAAAGCTGGGCAGAGACTGTCTTGCCTGGGAGGTGTTCAGGCAGCTGTAGAAAGAAGGCTTTGGGCTGGTGAGCCCCGCCCCTCCCTAGGGTCCCTGTGGTTCATGCTAATGACTCCCGTTGTTGCCTTATTCCCTGGTAGAGGTTGATGGTCTGGACTCCTGACTGGGGTCAGAGCTGAAGGATTTGCCTTTCCTTAACTCTGCTGTTTTCTCCCTGACCTACCTGGGTAGTGAAAAACCAGGCTCGCTGGGTGCAGCAGTTCATCAGAGACATGGAGAGCCTGTCCCAAGTCACTGGCGACCCACATTTCAACATCATTATCACAGACTATAGCAGTGAGGACATGGATGTTGAGATGGCTCTGAAGAGGTCCAGGCTGAAGAGGTGAGGAAGACCTCTGGCGGCAGCTAGCTTGCCACCTTGCCAACATCCCAGGACTGCTGGTCAGGGTAGAGCCACAAGTTGCAGCCACCTTTCCTGAGTCCCAGGGTCCAGCCCTACATCCCTGCCCACAACCCTGGAGCGCCTACTGTCTCTATTTCATGCCTTCTAACTTCCTTCAGGACCCCACAGCTGAATCCTCACACTCTGCCCTTTCTTCTCTTCCTGCAGCTACCAGTACCTGAAGCTGAGTGGAAACTTTGAGCGTTCCTCCGGACTACAGGCTGGCATAGACCTGGTGAAGGTAATGGCCTCAAGGAGGATTGGGAAGGTGATCAAGGTAGTCAGTTCCTTAGTAGGATAGAAATTGGGTCACAGGACTGTGCTTGTCACTATCCATTACTGTAACAAGATAACCTGAGCATCCTCGTTTGCTTTCTGTTGCCGTGGTAAACACCTTGACCAAAAGCAGCTTGGGGAGGAAAGGGTTTAATTGGTTCCTGCATCTGGACCACCGTGGCTCACTGAGGGAGGTCAAGCAGGAACCGTCAAGGAAAGGTGTTTAGTGGCTTGCTCCTCACAGCTTGCTCAGCTTTCTTTCTTTTCGTTTTAACTTTTTAAAATTAAAAACCATTACAAGGAGGCTGGAGAGATGGCTCAGTGGTTAACAGCACTGGCTGTTCTTTCAATGGTCCTGAGGTCATTTCCAGCAACCACACAGTGGTTCACCACCCATAATGAGGTCTGGTGCCCTCCTCTGGTGTGCAGGCACACATGCAGACAGAACACTTTTTTAAAAATCTTAAAAAACAAAACACAAAAAAAAACATTACAGATGGTTGTGAGCTGCCATGTGGGTGCTGGGAATCAAACCCAGGTCCTCTGGCAGAACATCCAGTGCTCTTAATCTCTGAGAGACGGCTCTCTCGCCCTCCATCTTGCTTTCTCATACAGGGTGGCACCATCCACGATGGTCTGGACCTTCCCAGACCATCTTCCCAGGCATCAATCATGAATCTTGGTGCCCCACAGACTTGTACAAAGGTCAATCTGATGGAGGCAATTCTTTCTTTCTTTCTTTTTTCTTTTCTTTTCTTTTTTTTTTGGGTGGGGGTGGGGGTGGGGTTGAGGCTCTGTGGCTTTGGAGGCTGCCATGGAACTAGCTCTTATAGACCAGTCTAGTATTGAACTCACAGAGATCCGCCTGCCTCTGCCTCCCTAGTGCTGCAATTAAAGGCGTGCGCCACCACTACCCAGCTGGAAGCAATTCTTAACTGAGTTTCTTCCTAGATGGCCCTCACTTGTGTCAAGTTGACAAAACAAACAGAACAATCAGCTCACTGAATTAAATTAAGATTTGTTTGTTAATTATTTGTGATGTTGGGAATTGCACTCAAGGCCTTGTGCATGCCAGGCAAGCCCTCTACCACCCAGCTAGCTACATACCCAGCTCTGAGGAAACGGTTCTTTTGGTTCACGGTTTCAGTCCATGGTCACTTTGCCCCATTGCTTTTGGGCCTGTGGTGAGGAATGAATCATGGCACAGACGCATGGCAAAGGACACTTCATGGCAGCATAGGAGTGAGAGAGACAGCGGCTAGGCTCCCAGTATTCTCACACCTCCTAGTGACTTAACTTCGTATCACTAGGCCCCACCCCCTACAGGTTCCACTAGTTCCCAGTAGCACCAGACTGGAAAGCAATCAATCCTCTATCACGTAGCCGTTTGAGGATACTTTGAAACCTTAGCAAGGAACATACTTGGCACTGCACTGCAGTCCCAGTGCAATGAGGGGGCTACATAAATAGCAAGGAAGTGTTTGCCCAGGTGTCAGAGTCCACAGACTCCAGAAAACATGGGGCAGAAGTCAGGTATTGTGGTACACATCTATACTGCCAGCTCTGAGGAGGCCGAGATAGGGTGGGCATGAGCTGAGGTCAACCTGGAACGTGCAACAAATCTCAGACTAGTCTGAATTCATCGTGTGACGTGAGGATTCAGCCCTGCTACTCCGGGTTGCGGAAATTTGCCTGGTGTTTAACTTTGTGTAAGTTGTCAGTTTCTCCAGTGGGGAAGAGCCTGCGGTTGTCTATAGAGCAGTGGTTATCAATCTGTGGGTCGTGACACCCTTGGCAAACCGCTGTCGCTAAAAATATTCATATTACAATTCATAACAGTAGCAAAACTACAGTTATGAAGTAGTAACAAATAATTTTATGGTTGGGGGTCACCACAAATGAGGAACTGTATTAAAGGGTCACAGCATTAGGAAGGTTGAGAAGCGCTGCTCTGGAGAGTAGCCTCATCTCCCAGATCTGGTCCAGAGGTCCTCTGACCTTGCCTTCTCCATCCCTAGGACCCACACAGCATCGTCTTCCTCTGTGATCTGCACATCCACTTTCCAGCAGCCATCATCGATGCCATCCGAAAGCACTGTGTAGAGGGCAAGATGGCCTTTGCCCCCATAGTGATGCGGCTGCACTGTGGGGCCACCCCACAGTGGCCTGAGGGTGAGCCCTGCCCTGGATGAGGGAGGAGGAGACACCCTCTGACCTTGGTGTTTAACCCCAAGGCTGGAACAGCCTATGCCTAAGCATCAGCCTCTTCCTCATCCTGTCTTCCTGTGTTCTCTGAACTTTGGACAACCCCCAGGCTCTACTGACAGCCACAGCAGCAGGCAAATCAGTGGTACTTTCTTCTGCCCTCCAGCATGCAGCCATCCGGCATTCATGAAGCATTTGCCATGTGCTGGATGCTGTGCCCATGAGAGAGGAAGTAGATGAGAAAACCAGCTCACAGCTGCCAGAAGGGCGGCTGGGGTCACATCCTAATTGCTGGGCTACAGTTAGGTCGTGACATCAGTCTATGGTCACTGCTGTGTTTGCTGAACCTCAAGCTTTGGTAGGGGGCCTCCCCCAGACAGTCCAGGGACTTCCTTAGCTGACAGTCTTCGGCCTCTGCCACCCAACGCTCTACCTTCAGAAGAGCCTGTTCGAACACAGCATCCAGCTCATCTCAGCTGAGTGTCTTGTCTGTCCACAGGCTATTGGGAGGTCAATGGATTTGGACTGCTTGGCATCTACAAGTCTGACCTGGACAAGATTGGGGGCATGAACACCAAGGAGTTCCGAGACCGCTGGGGAGGGGAAGACTGGGAGCTGCTGGACAGGTGACCTGGGAACAGGGCCTTTGGGGATCTGCTGGAGTTCCAGTCCCAGGGCAGCGAGGCCAGAGCCTCAGAGCTGTGCTGCTGGTTCCCAGGGCAGGGGAAAGTGTACTGGTCTGGGAGCTCCTGGAGGCTGGCGTCACTGACATGCTGGCTGTGTTTCCAGCAGACAGGGATGACACTTCCACTGTGTGTCACAGTCTGAGTGGTTGGTTGGGTTGTCACAGATAAAGCAAGAGACTGGAGCTAAACGGTGAAAATGATGGTGCTCTCAGGACCAGGTGAGGCTCCCAGGAGCTTTCTCCCCAGCTAGGGCTCATGCTCTTCTCAGACAGTGTTGCCTGGTGGAGGGCCAGAAAGCTGTGAGAGGACACTGGAAGACAGGCCAAGGGTTAGGAGTGCATTGGAAGCCAGCAAAATAGGCAGTCTGGAGCATTAATAGCAACCTGGGTGTCATGGCCCGGCATGTCTCAGGCCCAGACCACAGAAGCCACGAGGTCTGGCCCGAGTCTGGGAGCGTGGACTTGGGAATTCCCAGTAACCCAACATCGATAAAGACCAGACATAGGCATCTTGTCATCTTTAGAGAGATCTCAGTTCCATGCTGCAAAACTGGAGTCTCTTCTTTATTCAGTGTCTTCCTGGTTGTAATCTAACCATGCTTCTCTAGCCACGAGGCCATTTCTCTCTCCTCCAGTAGACCCCTCTGCCAGCTACTTCCTAACTCTTTGTCCTCACTTGTCCTGTACACCTAGCCCTCTGCCCTGGTGCAGGCCTATTCAAATGCTTAGTTCTGTAGAGATGCAAACTAGGAGGCATTCTCCACTGAGGCTATGCCATTCAATAGTAGATTAGCTAGCATCTGCAATACAACTGTAGACCAGAGCTTTGAACCCCAAGACACTTTCCAATAGCACAATATTCGGCTCCTGGCACCTGGGTATCCAGAGGATCTGGATTCCTGGAGTTGAGAAGGGAAGGGGTTTTGAAAGAAGTAAATAGTCTCAGAGGAGGAGAGGGCTGACCAGATAGAACACTTACCTAGCATGAATGGGCCCTTAGGCTCAATCCCCAGTACTAAAGAACGAGGAAAAAATTTGTGTTTATATATACAGATATATATTCATATATATAATATATACAAATATACTATATATATATATATATTACTTTTGTCATCACTGTGACAAAGGGAAGAAGAGGTGTTGGGTTCGTGGCAGGACAGCATGGTAGCATATATAGTGATGGGGAACTCCTAACATCTTGGGCAGACTAGGAAGCAGGGAGAAAGAAATTTATTATCCTGGGACTAAGACTAAAACAGGTAACCTGGTGTATACCATGTATTTGTATATACTCATGCATTTGTATTCTTAGCCTGGTGTGGTGGCATATGCCCCTAATCCCAGCACTGGGGAGGCTGGAGGCTACAAGACTATCATAAGTTCGAGGTCAGCCTGGGCTACTCAGCAAGACCCAGTCTCGGTCCCCCACCCCTCAAAAAAGAAAAGGGAAAAGGAGAGAGATGGCAGGACACAGTGGGAGCAGTGGACTCGGCGGGGGGGGCAGGAAAGTGTTCTAGCAAGAAGCGGGGCTGGCTGCGAGATGGGAGAAACCTGCTGCAGTGACAACAGTGCTCCCTGCGTTTGCATGAGAGTCCTCTTTCAAGAAGTTTGTTCCCAAGAGAAGGGGAAGAAAGGGGATGCTATGTTGAGATGTGAGCTTAAAGAAAGCCTGTAACTGCTGGAAGGGTGTCCACAGGAGGAGGAAGGGATGAGGCCAGGGGCACCAGGGGCACGCTGCTTCCTGAGAGGGAGGGCGAGGTGGAGCCACCAACCTCTGAGTCATTATAATTGGCAGGTGGGGTTCATGCCCAAGGCCTCATTCGTCCTTCTCACCGAGCTCCTGTGCAGTTGTCTCCATTTCCCAGAGGGGAAACTGCTCATGAAAAGTAGTTAAGTACTTGTCCCTTCCATCCCCGTGAAGCATCAGAGGCCTAAAAATCAGGCCCATCTTTGATTTCCCACTGGAGGGAAGCAGAAGGAAGAATACTGAAATACCGAGAATTAAAGGTGGGGTAGGGAGCGGTTCAGAGAGCTGTGTCAAATAACTCAGTCACAGGAAGCCACATCACAGGAGACCCCGAAGTGGATGGGAGCCCAGTGTAGTGGTTGCTGTCACATGACCTTCGTGCTGGGCTTTGTGCTTTGATGGAGACCTCCAAAATAGTTCTGAACCCTCCCGCGATCTTTAAGACCTGAGGAAAGGGCTGCTTCAGGTTCCGTCTACTTGCCGTCCTGTTTGAAGCATAGGCCTCCTTGGAAAGGGAACCTCCCCTGGTGGCTGTGCAAATGAGAACATTGCCTAGCTTCTGTGAGACCTGGGGCTTGATCCCCAGCACTGCAAGGAAAAAAAAAAAAAAAGCCAGGCTGTTCAACACACACCTTAATCCCAGCCTTTAGGAGGCTGAGTCAGAAGAATCTTGAGTTAGAGGCCAACCTGGGTTATATAACAAGATGATCCCCCACCTACACACACACACACACACACACACACACACACACACACACACAACACAGATAGGAATGGGGAAAGTTTGGGGGTGGTTTCTCCAGTTCCAGTCTCCTGATACTGTAAAGCAACTGGTGTGTGCTGGGAACTGTGCTTTGTGCTGCAGATCCATCATCGTGTGTGTGTGGGGGGGTGTTTGTGTGTGTGTGTGTGGGTGTGTGCGAGTGCCTGAGCATGTGTGTGTGATTAGAGAGGATATATATAAATATAAATATATACACATTTATAAGATTATTGTCCTCTTCTGAGCCACACAGCTATGACTGCAACCCAGGCAGGTTGCCTGTAGCTTCCTACTTCTGCTGCCTGACGCTGCCCTCTCTCCTCCAGGATCCTCCAAGCAGGCCTGGAAGTGGATCGGCTCTCCCTCAGGAACTTCTTCCACTACTTCCATTCCAAGCGAGGCATGTGGAATCACCGCCAGATGAAGATGCCATGACCCCCAGGGACGGCTGCTTACAGCTCCTTGACTTGCAGTTGACCTGGAGGAGGGAATATGAGGAGCAGAAGCCTCAGCACTAATTGCCCTCTCCACCAGGAGCTGTCCCTTCATGCAGGGACAAGTGCCGGGGCTCCTCTGCCACTCACCGGGTTGACAGATGGAATGACTGCACAGGATGGGCAGGGAGGCACCTGATTTGATAGAATACCATCATGTCCACTACGGTGCATTCCTATGGCGCCAGTGCTCCTCATGGGGAGTGTTGATCATGAACCAGAAACTTCAATGGAGCAGATTTTATTTGGGGTGGAGGTATTGGGAGGGGGTGATAATTTTTAACAGATAATGAAGACTTATGTCTAGACCCAGCACTGACTGGGAGTGAAGCTGTGCATTGCAGACCTCAGACCCACTGAGGTGCCAGTCCTATGTGAAGTACCTCAGCTCCAGGCCTAGTCTGTGCCTTCTAAACACACACATCCCTCCTGGTAGCCACTGAAGAGCTGGCTACCCAACTCCTACAGATAGAGGGTTCTTTAGTGGAATCCTAACATTGATGGCATCATCCTACTGCAACAGGGCGTGGGATGGGAGCAGATGGGCGGTGGACCCATTTTCCCGAGTGTTCATAAGGGCTGTGTGGAACCAGCAAGGTAATACAGGCAGAGAAATACCCCTTCTTTGACTCATCTGCCAGTTAAGACCTGGAGATAACAGGGAGGTGCCACCAAAGGTGACATAGATGGCCCATCGACTGCTTAAGTGAGCATGTGGGAGGGACTCAAGCAGGGAGGGTCAAAGAAGAGGGAAGAAAATGTATACTGTAAGCTGTGGTCTTGCCCTCCTGCCAGCCCCAGCCTCCTGGCCCTGAGAAGAGGAGTTGAAGCCTGGCCATCTGATAGGGGGCAGGGTGATAAAGGAGGCAAGACCATAGGTAGGAAGAACTAGAAAATGGCTAGTTTTGGGGACAGCAGCCCCTAATCTTTTCTGTCTTTGGCCACCCCTTCTGTCCCCTGATGTCGCATACTTATCTTGCACTAATAGTCCCCATACTCCATGGCTGGGACTTTGTATTGCTGCTGCTGCTTCACCAGTGGTGCATTGGACACGGGGTATGAAACCCAGTCTGTGAAGAGGGGTCAGCACAGCGCATTTCTGCTGAGAGAAAGGGCTCTGCTTGGCAGAGCCTGCCCGCCATGCGGTGAATCTACAGTGCAGCATTTGGAGCTGAGAGATCCACGCGGCAGCTCTGTGAGTGCCAAGAACGCTTGGCACATGCGAAGTGGGGCGCTCTGGGAACCCGCTGGGCCTTGCCTTTAAGCAGTCAGAAGAGCAGGGTGGTTCTCTTAATGGGTTGTGGCTTTTTCTCATCCCTGCTCAGGCCTTCTGCCCTTTAGAAAAGGCACGTAGAAAGTAGGCTAGGGCTTCAGTTGGACAGCCGGAGTGCCAGGCTTCTCTCTAAGGCCTTAGATTCTTGGAATTGTGCTGGAAGGCCAGAGCTAGTCCCCGAAGCCCTCCTGCTCTCTTTCTGAGGACCAGGAGCCCTCTGGGCCTTCCCCACGCTGCTCAGCACCTCCCTCCCAGGTCTAGTGCCTTGTGTTTGATATGTTACCTCCTGACCATCTGCCTTAAGGAAAGGAAAATGCTATGGGTGGAGAGAGGTAAGAGGGCATTGAAGTCAGCATCTTAGGGCTCTTTTTCCTGTTTCCCAAGAGCTGGGGACAACACTTCTGTCCCTCAGCTGTTTGCTCAATGACAGGCTAAGGACTATCCCTCCCTTGCTTTCTGCCTTGGTGCTTGCTGACAGAAAGGACAAAACTTCCTGTGCTGTAGTGTGCTTGGGAAGAACACCACACTGTCCTGACTGTGTCTCACAGTCTCAGCAGCCCAGGTTAGTGGAGGTCATGGCCTCAGCTAGAGGACAACGCCCCCCCCCACCCCCAGCCCCCCTGAAGAGGGCTGGCTGGAGCAGTGCAGCTGTAATCCCAGCACTTAGGAAGCTGAGACGTGAAGATGAGGCATGCAGGGCCAGCCTAGGCTACCTAACAAGATCCTGTCAAAATGAACGAATGAATGAATCAATGAATGAATTAAATAAATGAATGAATTAAGTAAATGAATGAATTAAACAAATGAATGAATTAAATGAATGAATAAATGAATGAAGAAATAAACGAAAGCTCTTTTCTGAGTGAATTGAAGGTACCCTGTTAATGCTCTACAGGTGTGAGTTGGCTTTCCTAGTTATGCTTGACCTGCACAATTTTTTAATTTTAATTTTTTCAAGGTTTTTTAAAATTTATTTTTATTTTATGTTCATTGGTATTTTTGCCTGCATGTGTTTCTGTGTGAGGGTATCAGACTCCCTGGAACTGGAGTTACAAACAGGTGTGAGCTGCCACATGGGCGCTGGAAATCGAACCCGGGTTCTCTGGAAGAGCAACTGAACCATCTCTCTAGTCTCTGTTTTTCAAGATTTTATTTTATGTGTATGAGTATTTTGCCTGCATGTATATCTGTGTACCATCTGAGTGATTGGTGCCAGTGGAGGACAGAAGCCGGCATCGCCTTCACTGGAACTGGAATTACAGATGGTTGTGAGGCACCATGTGGGTCCTGGGAATTGAACTCAGGACCTCTGGAAGAGCAGCCAGTGTGGTGATATTTTGTTGATGATCTAAGAAATAAAGCTTGCCTGAAGACCAGAGAAGCAAAGCAGCCAGCCACTAGAGAGCTCTCACCTCTACCATGGCTCAGACTGAAGGGGTGACCCTGACCTCACACTGCTCCTGACTGCACTGCTCACCAAACCTCAGGCTACAATGAGCTCCTGTCTCCTCCCACTTTATATTCCTCTCTCTGCTCAGGCATGTCACTCCACTCCCTAGTGCTGGAATTAAAGGTGTGAGCTCTGTTTCTCTTTTAGACTGATTCACTTTCATGTAGCTCAGGGTGGCCCTGAACTCACAGAGACCCATTTGCCTCAATCTCCTGAGTGTGGGATTAAAGGTATGTACCAGGACTGCCTGGCCTCTATAGCTGTAGTTGTCTCTGCACTCTGATCCTCAGGCAAGCTTTATTTGTTAGATCATAAACAAAATATCAACACATTTCCCCTTTTTTTTGTCTAAAATTTAAAAAAGGTTATAACTTGAATTCTTTAGTGTCGGGCTGCTTTGCTTCTCTGATCTTCAGGTAAGCTTTGTTATGTCATAAAATATCACAAGCCAGTGCTCTTAACCACTAAGCCATCTCTCTAGTACCCCATTTAAAAAAAAAAAAAAAAAGCTTTTAGCCATTTAATGGTGCCTTTGATCTCAGCAGTCCAAAGACAAAGGCTGGTGGATCTCTATGAGTTCAAATCCAGCCTGATCTACATTGTGAGACCTTGTCTCAAAAAAACCATTAAAATTAAACTTGCTCATTTAGAGTGTGTGGTATATGCATGCCACAGGTGCAGGTCAGAGGGCAGTTTTCAGTGGTTGGTTCCTCCCCACCCTATACCATGTGGGGTCCTCAGGCTTGGCAGCAAGTACCTTTACTCACTGAAAATGTATATATCATCAAATGCATCTAAGAGACACCATTAGCGAGAAAAGTACAATGGGTTTCTAGTAGAGTCTTTAGAAAACTTATGTATATATTCATCAGTCTAGAACTCAGTGAACCTGTTTTTGATGTGCAGGTGACAATAAACCCTTTCCAGGACACAGATGACAAAGGCATCCGCATACCAGCCTGCTTCAGAGTCCATAAGACTGAAGACAGCAACTTGGTCAATTTTTAGATATTTTTTATAGATAGATTCCCATTTTGCAGGAAGGGACAGTTGAGGCTTGGAGCAGAGGGAAGGAATGCGGTGGAACCAGAGTCTGCGGGCCATGTAGACGGCCTTACTTAGCAGAGTCATTTACTGTTGCTGGAGGGAAGGGTGGCTGTTGCAGAGGCTGAGCTCAGGCCTTCAGACCAAGACGCAATTACATCATCCAGTAAAACTGCACAATTCAGGTGCTGCAGGCAGGAAGTGGGGGCATTTTTGTTGCCCTTGAAGCTCTCCTGGAGGCTGTGGGATGTGCTAGTTAGCCTGACGGGTCGGGGACAAAGGCTGAAGCAGTCCAGACCCAGTTCCTGTCAAGAGAGTAGACAGACAGAAGACAATGAAAGGGTGGGGCTGAATGAGGCTCCTCAGACTGGGTTTACACCCAATCCACCAGGTGAAGAAAGTAAAGAATGGTGTCATTCAGCAACCTGGAGTGGGGCCTGAAGGGCACTTCCCAGCCAGCTCAGAGAGAGCATTGTGGATGCTGCTGCAGGCTCACCCATTAGCCACATTGGCCCTCCACTCTACCCTAAGCTGTGGGGACAAAAGTCTACCTAAAAATGGGCTGGGTGTGGCACACCCATCATCCTCGGTTACATAGGGAGTTTAAGTCTAACCTGGGTTACAAGACAGTCCCTGAAAACAAACAGCAGAAGAACTGAAGGATGGTCACTTCTTCAGGCCTCAGGCAGGCCTCACTAAGTCCCCCTCATGGTCATGTACTGACTTGTGGGAGGCTCGAGCCTGTAACCCAGCACACATGGTGCATGTACCGTGGAAGGCCCATGCTTTAAACCAGCACTCAGCGTGAATGAACTATTGGATGCTGACGTCCACTCACCAGGCGGGGTGGGGCGGGGTGGGGGTGGGGGCTGCTTATAAACAAGCACTAATTGTGAAAGTTCTGTTGGAGGCTAACATTTGTGTACCTCTGGTACCAACACTTACTGCACATGTACTGTTGTTGGCTCATGGATTTACCACAGCATTCGTGGTACATGAGCAATGAGAGACTTACACATAAACCTTATTACAGGTTTTTCTTTATAAGAAAGGAAAACACCCCTCATGGTGCACCACTCAATTTGCATGTACTGTGAAAGGCCCATCAGCCCTTCCAGAACTCCCTTGTCCACAGGCCTATAGAGCTTCCCCCTTGGTGTGGGGAGGGAGAGCCCTCTTACTCCGACCACCAGAGGCAGAGGTCAGTTGTGAGCCCTTGGATCTGAGGTCCTCTGGGCCTCCACCTCACCTGGGACCTAGGTAGGAATTAAACAGGATTGCTGGAGGTCCTGGCAGCCATGGAGCCTGTCTTGTGTGCCCCAAAAGCAGTGATAAAAATGTTGATGACCACAGTAATGAAGACCAAGGTGGTGGCAGCATTGTTGAGCTGGTTTAGACGCCATTGGTTTTCTACCTTATTCAGGTTCAGCCTGGCTGTGGAGACAAGGAGATCAGGGTGGGTGGACAAGGGTCAATCTAGCAGGGCTGGAACCAGGAGCTTCCCTCTCCCCACCCATGAATTTGGAGACCAACAGGAAGAAATCATCACTGGACTTAAATGTGTGTGGGTCTCCTGGCCGGCGTATGAGGTATTCACAGTGTGCGTCATAGAAAGGGAATTGGGAACAAAACCATCTAAGAGGGAGGTATGCTTACAATATAAATGACTGTCACTAGCTAGTGGGGTCAGCCATTCAGCAGATGTCCAGGAGTGCCCATCCACGGGATATGAAGAGAAAGGACAAGAGGAGCCCTCACTGTTGGATCTGTTTCTTGGAGGGGTAGAGGACTGATTCTTTTAGGTGGCTGGTAAATTTCACGTGGGATGCAGGGGCCTTTCCTACCACCAGGGGGCACCAAGGCAGAAAGTCTGACTGCAGGCTGTGCTCCTTACCAATGACCACAAGAAGAATGCCAATGACTATTTGCAGGAGCAGAGAGACACTGATGAGGGCGATGAGGGTGGTGTAGTACTGCGAGGATGGCCCTTGCTCCAGCACCACTTTCAGCCTCGTGGCATTGGACATAAAGAGCGCCACATCCAGCATGCTCTCTGCCACACTCTTCTTGGTGGCGTAGTGGTTCATATTCAGAACCTGGTTCCCTCGGGTATTGGAGTGGCCACGCTGTAAGAGAGGAGATTCTGGTAAAGGGGCTGCAAGGGAAAGAAGACAGGGGTTTTAGTACTCCTCCCAAAGGGTGACAGCGATGGCCTCCTCGCTCAGCTTACGACCTGAAACCAATGAAAAGTTAGATGGATGAGCAGTTGGATGAATGGATTGCTGGATGGAATCTCTTTGGACCACTAAGCTCCGAATTAACTAAAGCTGCACTGTGATATCTGCTTCACAGAGAGTCTTTTACACCTTCACATAGTCAGATGAAGAAAGACAACAGAAGGCGTTCTGTGGTCATGGGTGAAATAGAAATGACACTTCTTCCGGAATAGCTGGCCCTACCCTAGCCATTCCTAGAGCTTCAACCCCACTCCAGCATGCACTGATTGTCAAACATAGGCTGTTAGAGAAACTCATGTACACAGCAATGCATACTCATTGAAAGCTCTTAGTTTTAAAAATTATTTTGGGAGACTGGGGTGTAGCTCAGTAGTACAGTGTTTCAGAGCATGCCCAAGGCCCTAGTTTCACTGCTGAAATAAATTATTTTTTAAAAATATTTTAAAATGAAATTATTTTTGAGCTATAAAATAAATATCTTGTTCTTCCAAAGCCACTAACTCCAAACGATGAAATCACAGTGTAAGCCATATGTGAACCTCTGATTTGGACCAGGAAAGTCAGAGGGGATGCTGCAGGATCTCTGTAATCACTCAAGAGGACTTGGGAGATCAATTGGCATTGATGCTTTGGGCATTTGAAGCAAGAAGAGACCAGAAGCAGGGGGACTCCAGTGGTATGATGCCATAGGGCCTGAGGGTGTCCACCTGTAATCCTAGAACTAGGAAGGCAGGGTGTCTTAGGATTTCTATTGCTGTGAAGAAACACCATGACCATAGCAACTCTAAAAAAGGAAAACATTTAATGGGATGGCTTTCTTACAGTTCAGAGGTTCAATCCATTACCATCACACTGGGACATGGCAGCATGGAAGCAGATATGGTGCTGGACAAGGAACTTAGACTTCTACATCTTGATCTGCAAGCAACAGGAAGTGAACTGAATCCCACACTGAGTGTAGCTTGAGCATAGGCGACCTCAAAGGCCTCCCCCAACAGTGACACATTTCCTCCAACAAGGCCACACCTACTCCAACAAAGCCATACCTCCTAATAGTGCCACTCCCTTTGGGGATCACTTTCTTTCAGACCACCACACCGGTAAGAAGAGCAGGAGTTTGAGGCCAGCCTGAGATATATGAGACTCTGTCTCAAAAACACAAGGGTCAGTGAGATGGCTCAGTAGGCAAAAGTACTTGCTTCAGTGATGTGGGATGTCCTTCGTAGGCTGTGAATATGTGTTGCTTTTATTGATTGATGAATAAAGCTTTTCTGGCCAATGGCTTATCAGAGTAAAGCCAGGCGGGAAATCTAAACAGAGATAGAGAGAAAGAGTAGGTGGGATGGAGGAGACAGCAGGTAGCGGTCAGGGAGGCAGGATGCCAGGTGGTGATACACAGATTAGTAGAAATGGGTTAATTTATAAGAGAGAGAGCTAGCCAGTAATAATTCTAAGCCATTGGCCAAACAATGATAAATATATATTAAGTCTCTGAATTGTTATCTTATAAGCAGCTGAGGGGACCTGGTGGGCAGAGAGAAACTGGTCCAGGGGGACTGGGCAGAATGCATAAAAGCTTCCAAATACATTCGGAGGCCAACGTGGGGCATGGACCCATAGCCCTGAGATTAAGAGTCTCATGTTCTACCGCCTGAGCTAGCTCCAGGATGTACTGTGGATAGATGGATGAACTGGCAGATGGCAGATAAATGTAGGAGAGGGCAGGTATGCGGACTGGGATGGGTGGTGAGAGAGACAAGTTTCAGGGCGTTTGGGTGTTTCTTATACTCAGCATGATTCCAGAAAGTTGTCTATTCTCTTTACATCTTCACATTACTCAGGTGATTAATTATGAAGAGCACATTTGAGAAGGAGAAGCCTGTTCTTCTATCAAAACCTTTGGGCTTTTTTTTAAAAGAAGTTTTATTTATTTATCATGTATGCAGTGGTCTGCCTACATGTATGCCTACAGGCCAGAAGAGGGTACCAGATCTCATTACAGATGGTTGTCAGCCACCATGTAGTTGCTGGGAATTGAACTCAGGACTTCTAGAAGAGCAGCCAGTGCTCTTAACTTCTTAGCCATCTCTCCAGCCCTAAAACCTTTGGGCTTTAAAGTAAGCCAGGAATAGTAGCTCAGATCTGAAATCCCATCACTTGAAAAGCTGAGACAACTGCCAAGACCACACAGAGAAACCTAGTCTCAAAAAAGAAATAGGGGTGGTGTGTGGGGGGGAGCGAGAGAAAAGAAAAGGCAGGAAAAAATTTGAGCTCAATAGGTGGCAGCAGAGAAATCTCAAACAGCACAGACAACAGCAGATAATATCAGTAGTTAAATAAAGGACTTTATTTTATTTATTTATTTATTTATTTATTTTGTTTTTTCGAGACTGGGTTTCTCTGTGTAGCTTTGGAGCCTATCCTGGCACTCACTCTGGAGACCAGGCTGGCCTCGAACTCACAGAGATCCTCCTGCCTCTGCCTCCCGAGTGCTGGGATAAATAAAGGCCTTTATTGAAGGTGAGGAAACCCATGCATTGGGCAGACGCTCAGATAAAAAGATCCTCCATAAAGCAGAGGGGGACTCAGAAAGCCAAAACTCCAGTCTCTTCTGAAGGGCTAGGTTTCTTAAAGTCTCTGAAGTTTTTTTCTTCCCTAATTTAGGGTTGGTCAGTTTGAAGAAAGAAGGGTTGAATTGGTCAGCCACTGTTGTGTAGCATGTGCTAATCTAGTCTTGAACTGGTGGGGCCCTGCCAGTGGGAGAAAAAGCCTGTGGGAGACTAGGAGTTAGATGGAGTCCACAGTAGGCAGACCATCTGGGACAGGGGCCATGGCTAGGCAATGCTTACTAAGGAATAGTCTAACTCCTAGTCTCTCTAGTACTCTCCAGAGGCAGGAGGATCAAGTTGGAGGCTGAGGAGGTGCCTGCCATGCATACACAAAGACCAGAGTTGAGATCCTTGGCACTCACTTGATAACCAGGCCCTGGGGAGCAGAGATAGGTGGATTCTGGAGTCTGCTGGCTAGCCAATCAGATCAATTTGGGAGTCCCGGGTGTGGCAGGAGAATGTCTCAAATGAAATGAAGTATGAGGGGGAGAGATGCCCAACTTTGAACTCTGCCCTCCACAAGCATGGACATGCGCATCTCTCACCCACACAAATTTAATTAATCTACAAAATGCTAAAGTATGTTTTATTGGAACATTTGGGTGGCCCTGGTTGCAAATAGAACATTTATTCTTCCCCGAGCTATGTGGAAAAGAGATAGCAGAGAGATACATTGTTTGAAGGTACTGCCTAGGGGTTAAAAATAGCACCCTGCCAGGAGGTGGTGGTGCACACCTCTAATCCCAGCAGAGAAGGCAGAGGCAGGTGATCTCTGAGGTCGAGGCCATCTTGGTCTACAGAGGGAGTTCCAGGACAGCCAAGGCTACATAGAGAAACCCAAAACAAAACAAACAAAAAACGAAATAAACAAAATAGCACCCTCACAACTGTCAGATAATAAGTTAATGAAGTCCTTTGCTCCCCTTAAATTGCTAAGCTAGAGCAGCTACCACCACCTTGGATTGCTGGCTTTATTTTGTTTTCAGGGGGTGAGGGGGAAGCTTTTGTTTCATTCCCCCCAGCATGCAGCTCTCTCCCTTCCTGTGCTAAGATCTAGTGGTAATACTTACTTTGTAGCCACAGCTGATAACAATGTAGCAATAACTAAAAGGCTAGAAGCCAACTGGGCAAGGACTAGGGAAACTCCAAGGCAGTGAGCCTGTGCCCAGAGCTGTTTTTTGTTTTTTGTTTTTTGTTTTGTTTTGTTTTGTTTTGTTTTCGAGACAAATTTTCTTTGTGTAGCTTTGGAGCCTATCATGGCATTCACTCTGTAGACCAGGCTGGCCTCGAACTCACAGAGATCTGCCTGCCTCTGCCTCCCAAGTGCTGGGATTAAAGGCGTTCACCACCAACTCCCGGCCAGAGCTGTTTTAAAGCTAGAAGTCTATTATGAATGCGATGTCTTCCTTAATTGTAAAGCACTTTATGAGATTCACATTTATAGAATGATACAGCCAATTCAAACCCCCAAGACTAAAAAATAAAATTGAACACAAAACCCAGAGGCAGGAGAGATGGCTCAGCTGTTAAAAGCACCTACTGCTCTTGCAGATGACACATGTTCCATACTAGCACTCACATAGTGGCTCACAAACCACCTCTAACTTCAGATATAGGGGATCTGGTACCCTCTTCTGGACTCCCCTGATAATCTGAAAACACATGGAGTACTTACATGTAGACAGACAGAACACTCAGACACACGCACACACACACACACACACACACACACACACACACGTATACACACACCACACACAAAACAGAGTCTTATTACCTAGCCCCGGCTCTCCTCCAACTAGCTATGTAGGCCAGGTTGGCCTCAAACTCACAGAAATCCACCTGCTTTTGCCTCTGAAGAGCTAGGATTGAAGGCATGGGCCTCCATGTCCTGTCCATCTTAAAAACTTAAAAATAAGACCCAACCCAACACCCCCGAGAGAAATGAAAAAGTTCCAAGGCATCCTCTGTTATGTAAGTTTGAGGCCACCCTGGCCCTATATACCCTGCCTCCCCACACATCACACTAGGCTTCAGAGCCTAGAGAATAATGAGAGAGCTTGTAGACATAGAAGGCAGGGATATTCCTGTCTTTCCTGACCTTTTTCCCCATTGGATTTTGCTGGGGTCTGGCTTGTAGCCAGTGCTGAGGCTAGAGAGGTGGTGACAGATAGGGGGTGAGGACCTGTTGGACCTAGGAAGCCACCCACTCACCCACAGCCTTTAGAAATGAGGTCCAAAGGAGTCTCTGTGTGGGGTCAGGTGGCCTGGCTAGTTAAAAGGGCTAAACCCCCAAAGGCCAATGGTCACTTGGGACACAAGGTTATATGGTAGTCCTGGCCCATTTGGTAAAGGTCTGTTCTGAGTCACTAAAAACAACAACAGATCACCTCACCTGATCAACACTCTCCTACAGGCTGCCCCCACCCCTAACACACACTGAGCTGCTACCCAAGCCCCTCCTTACCTATCCTCCAGTACCTTGCTCCTCCTTCCAAAAATGCAGTTCACTCATGGTTCTAGTGTTGCTAGACTGGGCTAGCCCTAAAAACTTGCAGTGGGCAAGCCTTAATTCAAACCTCTAGCCATGTGTTTGAACATTGACTGTGGGTGGGAATAGGGGGATACTGGAAAGGGTTGGTACCTGGGAAACAGATCTTTCCAAATCTCTGCAAAAGTGTTGTAATTTCTCGGTGTCCTCCCCATTCCTGGTGCTCCTGCGTGTAATTTGGGGGGGGGGGCCTTCACTCGTAAACATCATGCATTCAGCCACCGAGTCCCACCTCCAGCCTCCCGGCCTTTTGTTGCTGTCTCTTTAAGAGCCTGTTTTACTGAGGATGTGGGAGGTGTAGGCCTCTCTAAATTCAGGTCTCTCACTTTCATTTCACTTCACTGAGCTCCTCTCCCCAAGGCCAGTTCTTCCACGTCCACAGGGTGGCGTGCAAGGTTCAAAGAAGCCGCTTGGGTACTGGATGTCAGGGTGATATGTCAGCCCCAAGAAAGTGCCTGTCACCATATGATAGGCCCGGATTGCTGAGGAACTTGGGGACCTGAGCCTGAAGACAACACAAATCAATAGCCTAGAACCTACCAGATACAACTGCCAAGGGACAGTTAAAGAAAACCAGTGCTAGCTGAACCCGGTGGTATTGCCTTAATGCCAACACATGGGATTGTGAATTTCAGGCCATCCTGGGCCATACAGCAAGATCCCAAAACAAAACAAAGAAATATAAAGAAGCCGGGCCAGGGTGGGGTGATAGATGTGGCCAGGGTGGGGTGATAGATGTGGGAAGCAGTGGACCTGGAGCCTGGGGAGGGAGGAGTAGTCTGAGTTAGTGGCTGTGAGACTCTGGAAGACATTGCTTTGAAGAGGGTCCCCTCTTTGGGTCTTTGCAAGTGAGGAAAAGCCTTTTTTTCCTGCCCTCCTGGGCTTGAGGATGGGATTGGCTGTTCCCCTAAACCCTGCAGTAGAGCTTCCTCTTCCCCTTAGCCTCAAGCCTCTAGCACTTCCATCAGAGATCTGGCTAAGGGAGGGGCATGGGATGAAGGCTGGTGGTGCCTCAGAAGATCTGGCCCTTTAAGGTCAGAGCCCAGGCGGGTCGGAACAAAGGCCCAGGAATGTGGGCTGGATCAGGGAGCAGAGCCATCCAGCATGAGTCATGCATGTTTCATGGACTCAGAATCCCTAGCTTCTACTTGCCTCAGCCTTTCCTGTGGCCAAGGGACAACATGCAGGGTCTGACTGGAGGCTCAGTTCTACCCAGAGTGTGGGTGCTCAGTTTCCTATCTGCAGAACAGGAGGAAAACCAGGCCCCTGGAGGAGAGGCAGAATGACCCTTCCTCCCAGAGGTAAAGACAGAATACAAGTTGTTCTCTTTCTTTCCTAGTCAGATTGATCTCACAATGCCCATCTCTTAGGGTCTCAGTAGGGCCTGCTCTCCCCAGCTCTGTACTTTCACTCAGTAACAGTGGGACAGTGAGTCTAGGGTCGAGGAGGCCCTGTTCAAGGTACATAGCCCCAGAGATTCCTGCCAGCCAGGGATACCTGGGAACCTGAAGGTCACTGTAGTTGGTGTGAGTTGAAACAGGGGGGTTGCAGAGGGAGTAGGGGGTAAACTCAGAGGTCCATTCTGGGGCCCAGAATACCTCCAGGACCTAATAGTTTGTGAGTTTGGTGATTGGGGTGGGTAGGTAGAGGATGAACACATCAAAGGCCTAATTTCCTCCCCTTGCCTCACCTTCCCTATTCCAGCATACCATACTCTTAGCCCTCTTGTCAGGCCCCACCCAACTCCCAAGACTGGGGATCCCATCCCTTCAGGTCAGCTCTGTTATTCAGCCCTTCATCTTTGTTGTTCTGTATTCTTGCTTCTTTACAAAACTAAGATGGTCAGGAAAGGACTGCTTTCTTTCTTTTACTTTTTTTTTTTTTTTTTACAGAAAAGTAAACATGTTGTTACATTGTTTGTTGACATTCTGGTTATCAGGGACCATGATGTCCATCAGCTCTTTCTGCTTTTTCTTGGAAACAAGATTACAGGGATGCTGTCTCACAGTGGGAGTGTATGTCACGGAAGTTGGATAAGTAACCGTTCTACCAAGAGACTACAGAGGCCTGGAGCCCAGCACGGTACAGGCCCAGAAAGCTGAAGGTGGAGACCAGGGTCCCCTCCCTGATCTGTCAAGCTGAAACATGAGCAGGCCAGATCCCTCAACCAGATCCTCATCCGTGCAAGCAAGGAACTGAGTTCTTTTTTAGCAGAGCCATCTAAGAATGGGGAGGACCCCTCCTCTGGGTAGAGAGTCTCAGGGTTGAGGCTATCTTCTGAGAGGAATTGAAGCCAGGCAGCTGTGGGGCTAGGCCAGAGTAGAGACAGTGAATCACTTTGCCCTATGCAGCTCCGGCACTGGTGACCTTTGGGTGAGTCATGCCTGTCAGTTTTGAGAAAAGCCATGTGGGCAGTCTTTCTGTGTGTCAGCCCAAACCCAGGTTGTACACAGAGTAGGTCCAAAAGAACCATGACCAATAACAACCTTTCAGTTGGCCTCAAAATGGCAGTCCACCTAGAAGTCAAGCCAGGAGCACCAGCAGGGTTGGTGGTGAGTGCCAGGCTTCCAAAGCCTGATTTCCCACCCCAGGAAAGGGTGGGTCCAGCCCAGACAAAATGGCTGTTTGAATAATGACTTCAGGGGAATTATTCTACTAACCGGCTTTAAATAGGTGTTGGAGGGCTCAGCTGCCCTGACTGAAGCCAACTTGGGAGAGTAATGGGCCTGCTCCACTGTGTTGCACACACTGGAACTGCATGGCTGTGTGGCTTCAACATCCTGGAACCATGTGGCTCTCATGGTTACGGAGGACATAGCTGGCATCTGGCACAGCGTTAAATACAGGACATGAGTCAGCTTAGTTCTCATTTAGTTCTGCAAAGTAGGTGAGAGCGTCACCATCTAGTGAGCAAAATGCAGAGAGCCCAAGGAACTCACCCCAAACCACACAGCAGCGCTTCGCTTCCCCCTCTCTCTGGACTGGAGTCTGTAGTTTAACGGCACCCCATAGTGTCCCAGAAGCAAAAAAAATACTTAGGTTCTAATGATAAACATACAAGCAATGCATGGTGGCACCCGTCTGTAACCTCAGCACTCGGGAGGTTGAGAAGGGAGGAAAGCGAGGACAACCTGGGAAAGAAAGGAAATAAAACAAAGAACCCCAAAGATGAAATGTGTGGCGTGAAATGAAAGAAAGCAATCGGATAGGCTGGTAAGGGCACACTGCTCGATGGAAGTCAAGCCCTCAGCCCCAGTAAAGCTTGCTCCAGGCTTTCCTGAGTCTTCAAGGGCTGTTTCCTCAACCCCTACACTGCTGTGGGAAGAAAGGACACAGGCATGAAGATAAACCTTGGGTTCAAAACGTTAAAAGAAAGCTGGGTGATAGTGGTGCACACACCTTTAGCCCCTGTACTCAGGAGGCAGAGGCAGGTGGCTCTATGGAAGCCAGCCTGGTCTAGAGGGCAAGTTCCAGGACAGCCAGGGCAACAGAGAGAAACCCTGTCTGGAAAAGGAAACAAACAAAAAATGTTAAGAGGGGACTGAGGAGAGAACCTGGGAGAATAGGGTTAACTTCAACTTCTTCAGCTGTGAGAGGTGGGAATATCTGTCCTGTTTGCTGTGAGCAGCTGCAGGGAAGCTCACCTGTAGAAGGCTTGCCTATGATTCATAAGGCTTTGGGTTTGAACCCCAGCAACAAAGGGGAGGGAAAGAAGAGAGAGAGAGAGAGAGAGAGAGAGAGAGAGAGAGAGAGAGAACTTTCGTTTCTGCTACTAACTGTGGCTTCTGGAACAAACCATTTTCTTCAGTCCTCAGTGACCCCCTGCTATCTGATCCAGAAGCTCTCTGTAAAGTAACTCTTCCCACTATCTCATCCTACTGGTGGCCACACATCAGTTGCCTTTGTAAACTATCCCTCTCCCCTATCAGAAGGCTAGTGGCACTGTCAATCAAGGGGCTCTGCTGCTTCCAAATTTAGCCAATCAGATTCTCTTGCTCACAGGAAATTAAATTTGAGAGTGTTCTTTCTGCTCTCCATTCTGCCTTGGGCTTTCTGGAACCTGAGTTTATTGTTTTCTCTCTTCTCTCTCCCCCTCTCTCTCTCTCTCCCCTCCCTCTCTCTCTTTTACCCAGCTTTCCCTAGGGATCCATAAGCAACCCACAGCCTTCTAGTGAACACTTTGTTTTGCTGAAGTGCCACAGATAATCCCAATCTTACAGGTCTCTAAAACATTGCTTTGACAAGCTAGAAATAATAATTTTTAAAACTCCCATTTGGCTGTAACAAAAGGTTTATTTCTAGATGAGAGATGACAGCTCAGTGACGGAGGGCTTGCCTAACATGTACAACCCTGGGTCCAATTTGCAACAAGGAGGGAAATGAGAGAAGGAGGAAAGAGAAAGAGAGGGAGAGAGGGGAGAGAGGGAGAGAGAGAGAGAGAGAGAAAGAGAGAGAGAGAGAGAGA